AACATGTCGGGATTTTTTTCTTCCATGAACACGCGACACAAAGACGGCGCGGAGGCTAATAATAATGTCGGGGGAGTCTTAAAGGGCGGAAGGAGAGGTGTCCATAAATATAATATGGCCCAGTATGTGGGGAGGCGGGAAGTAAGATTTCAGCCACCACCTGTCCCTAAAATGCACGGGGCGCAGCGCACGTGAAAACAATATTACTAAAGGATTTTAAGTGAAATTAATTCTTGGATGAGGCAGGATTAATAGTCCCTAATCCAATAATAAGGGCCGGTCAAGCGCACGTCAGGACGGATCAGCGATGACATGGGTTCAGTACGACTCCATTCCGAATGCATTTATTATTTGTATATGCTGTGGTCCTAGAGTATAATATCGGCGGACGAGAAGACTCTGAAAGGGTCGCTGCCCATATGGACCTAAGGCAGGTGATCCCCCGACGATCGTTTATCTCCCTGTTTCCCGCCCTCCGACAACACATTTGACAAATGCCAAAGGACATTGACAACCGTTGATGCCCATCATACCAAAACACAAACATCTATACCTCAATTACGCCATTAAACCACCCAAAATACACAATGGATTAAAATATACATTACTATTTTTTCCTCCTTTTACCACGCATCAAAGAAATAACGCGCTCTGTTACATTCATCCAAGCGTGTATTACATCTTCTTCACAATAATGGTACTGCTTTCAATCTCCGTACGAAATTAATAAATATGTTGGTTTTGTTTCGTTCCGAAGTGTCAGCAATTGAGAATGACATGTGTCATGCACGCAACACGGGAAATTATTAAAATCAAATCAATCAAGGCGAGTCGACACAGATTAATCTCAATTAAAATGACAAACGCTGTAACCGAGGAGACCTCCCAAAACAAATCTTTTACGTAATTTTAACCCATCCGAAGATACACTCCAATAGCTAATAGTTACGTACGGGATTTAAATAGTTGAAAATACGTTCAATCAATATCAAAATAACTGCTATGGCCATTTTGCTGCAGGATTTATTGGCGTAATTTTAGAACGTGACTAATTGATCGACGAGTTTTATATTGCTCTATTTATAAATTGAGAAATTAAATGATCCACGGGCAAAAACTGTGACGTTGTACAGTGCAAATCTTACAGTAATTTAATTTACAAATACATTAATGTTCTGCAAATAAAATTATTTAAATACAATGTAATATAACGTCCGTTACTTTATTGCTTTACGCTGAAATATTACTAAATTTGGTCATCAATTACAAATTTCTTAAGAAGAAATTTAATAAAAAATATATTATAAATACATTCAGTATTTGTATAATTACAAATAATTTCTCAATCCCATGATTATTTAAAATTTATAGTTTTAAATTCGCAAATACAAAAATTGAATTATAAGAACTAATTAGGAATGAAATGATCGAACATTCACTTACTTTCACTGTAAACAGGTAAATCAAAAACTATATTTATTTGACCTTCAAATTTACATACATATAGAAATAAAATTGATTGAACATAAGCAAACAATAATTAAATTTACATCAATAAGTTATCATAATTGTAATATAATTATATGAGTAAAAGTTACAACTTTATAAAAAAATACTACTAGTAGGCGAATCAGACAAAGAAAATAATTTGCCAATATTATTAGTATTTGCTTTTACATTAATTAAATTTTCAATTATTTCAAATGAAGCTTATTTTATATCAGTGTGAATGCGTAATAAATTATGAGCAGCATGTGGATGTGAAAATATAATTTCCAAACCACAAAATATTCAAATATAATAATCACGTATGGGAATGACATACTGGGGATCAACGGGTCGCGGAACAAGTTCAAACATGTATGTATGAACTAGTTTATGTCTGGAACATCTGCACTAAAATGGGTTTAAATTTGTTGATATAAAATGAATATAAATTATCACAAACATACAAATATTTTCAACGTAAAATAAATGTTGCATTGCTAAATTTACGTGAACATACAAGTATTTAATTGTGTAGAAGTAAGCAATGAAGCCTGTCAATACAATTAGATCTTTAAATTTAAAGATAATCTGAATGCTTTAGGTAAGAAACATAAAATTAATGATGTGATATAATGATGTAGTTATGCCAGATTGTTTATATTTAAAAATACTTTATATTTAATGCGTAAATTGCATTACAATAAAAATCATCATATTAAAATGTGTAGTATTCATAATGCTAGGAAATTGAACTAGTTTCTATTTCAATCTAATTCAAAGGAAGAGTTCAAGTTTTGTACGCACTGGTTAAGCTCAAGAGTCGGCGTATCGATGTGAATGAAATGAATGGAAATGGTGTGTGCGTATGGGTGTGTGTTGTATGTGTAGGGGAATCGCTTTTTACGAATTCCTGTCGCGAGGTGAGAGTTTCACGATCGAGAATGAATCATTTGGGATGTTGGCGCGCGATCGCGAAATATCGCCGAGGAGGACGTCCGATGGCGATGGGTGCAGACAAGGCAGACGGCCGCATGACTCAGCCACGCTCACACACGCCGCACGCACACCACGAAGAGCTTCAAGATGATGATGGTAATGTGAGAGGAAGTAGTGGTATGGCTGAGACGAGAGATGGTCGACCATGTGACGATGATAACGACGAAGATGATGATGGTGGTGGTAGTAGTGATGGTCGCGGTGGGCCGGGCCCATCTTCATCCAACTTGTGTTCACTTCTCACTCCGATTTCCGTGGCTCATTTACATTCAAGAGTCCGCGCAGCCCGCGAGGATATCCGCCGCCAAGACGCCCGACGGTCACGTGCCAGCAACATTCACACGGGACATACCACAACAACAACAACTAAAAAAACACAACACCCACACTTACCGTACACACTAAATAGAAAGGAAATACGATAATTAAATCTAATTCACACATACGAAGGAAATGATCGTTGAAGATGTCGTTAAAGACATTTCAACTCAAAATGCATAATAGATTCTAAAAATGTTTTGATGATTACAGCACAGTATTAATAATTCTATTTTTTTTACAATTATTGCCTTATTAAATAGCATGTTTATAAAATACCCAATGTAAAAAAATGTATGTAAGATTTCATATTTAGAATCTTATTTTTATGGAAAAAAATTGTAGTGTTTAGCGGGATTGCAAATTTTGATTATAGTGATCCTCAAGATTCAATATATTGAGTTTAGTGGTCCGTGAGGTCAAAAAGGTTGGCGTCCGCTGGTCTATAATGCCAAAAACGTCATGTTATATTGAACTAAAACCTTTGAATAACAGTTGCAAAACATAATTTCTTCTAAAATTGTATTAAGATATTTTTGAAACATGATGTGAATTTTTCATCAACATAGCCGGAATAAAAAATAAATTAATTCAAAAACAAAACTCATTATTTCACAAATATTATGTAAATGTATTATTGAATATTGTCGAAAATCGATATTATCAATTGTTGATCGGGACTTTCATATAAAATCAAGCCCACTTGTTCTTAAATATAAAACATGAACTGTCCATTTAAGCGACGTTACTTGAGGAAACGTGGGTTACATATGTCCTAACGCAATATTTAAATGCATGATTTGCATAAGATTTGAATGAAAAGTGTATACATTACGGTTAAAGTGTAAACTTGGTTTATGAACTAACTAGATAATATATATAGTAGTCAAAAAGCTGGATGATTTTAAGGAAATTTTATTTTATGTTTTAACAAAATAAAATTTTCATTAGTTTAAATCAGAGAGTCGAACCGTAATTAATTTCGTTCCGGTTTATGTTCCCAGTAAATGTTTATCATTCCAGATTCGGACTCTCTGGTTTAAATACATACTAACCTATGGGTCCAATATTGTGTCGAGTCAAATTTGCAATGGGTCGCGAAATAACAGCTATCACCTTGTTTCAAAGCGAGAAACTGATAAAATACTCTGATTGGTATTTTTCTATTTTTTACAACTACAAACTAATATGATGAATCGCGCGTCGTTATACTTTAGTCAACTAGATATTGTATTTTTTTTATATTTTATTTAATTTGTAAATTAGATAATGAAATTTCTTAATTTGTTATATATAAGTAAAAAAGTGAATGAAGCATATCTAGTTTAAAATATTATATTTATTAGATTATCATCAATATTCTCCTAAACTTTTTAGTAAATAATTAAGAAACACACATTATTATATCTTTACAATAAATAAATTACAACTATTTAAGTACTGTTTATATTACTGAATTATAATTTATTTTCATTTCTGCACACTGGTTTCTTTCTATTAGATGTATGTATATTTAGTTAGGTTTATATTCAGTGGATTACAAATACAACGTTTACATTGGTTAATAGATATTTTAACAAACATAGTATAAACAATAGTTTATCAAATGACTCAGCTTATGGGATGATGAGTGTATTAATGTATTTAATAAAAATAGAAGATGCTATTATCAAACAAAACTAACTATTTAAGTTAAATATTGCCATTGAAATATAAATAATTGTGCTTCTATTTTCAAACATGTTCAATCGTTACAAATAAATAAAATACAGTCTAACCTCGCTTAACCACAATTTTCCCCATATAAACTAATGTAATATACGTTAATGCGATCCATTTTTTAGTAATTTTTCTTACAATTTATTTTGTTCGTTAAGAGAAATACTCGTTGTGCTAGGTGCTCGTTAAGCGAGGTTCCACTGTATTATTAAAATTATATCAAACATAGAAGGAATCACTAAGTTAAAACTCTAATTTAGTAGTCAAATTACTATAGGATGATCAGATGTTCCGATTTTTTGGGATTTGTCGTTATTTTTGTTATATGTCCCTGTCTCCCCGACTATGGTCTATTGTATGTCAAAAAAGAAATAAAGAGAGACAAAATCTAGTGAAGAATCAGAGTCATGTAATAAAATGCATTATTCGTTATAGTTTATAAAGTTTTCGCGGAAAAGTTAAAAAAAATAGGCACTTACCTCGTGACAGTGTGAGGATATCGTTTCCATGTCTGTGGCAGCAGCTTGTCCTAGAATATAAGATGAAATTAAGAAATAAATAGTAAATAATTAGAGAAATAACAGTGGTATAAAGAAAACAATTGGAGCTGATAATGATGACAATTAGTGAGACTGTCGCGTGCGACATATAATTCCAAAAAGATTTACTATCAGAAGTAACACATCTAACAATAAATTCTCATATAATAATATAATATATTCTCTAAGAACATTGTTTATTTATATACTTTAAAGTCAATAAGAAATAAAATTAATATTATTTATTGGCCAGAGCACATATAGATTAGTTTTTAAATATTCCACCTGATCTTAATGAGGAGGTGGAATTATCACGAACTTATCGAGGACTTTAAAACCGCATAAAAATTAACTGTACAAAAAAAACTTGTATAATGAAAAAAAAAACGATCATTTATTTATATAATTATGTTCTATTTTTTTTGGAATTTATTTGTATTTTGTCAATTAAAATGTATTATATTTCAAAATTTTCAAACCATACTGATTCACATACTGATCGTAACCGCAATATGCGAGTTATTGCTGTAATTTTATTTATCAGAAATTATTGAAAATAGATGTCGGTATTTAATTGGAAGTACAGTGGAACCTCGCTTAAAGAGCAAAATTTATTGTAAAAATGACTCGCTTAACAAGTGACGAGGAGAAGAAAAGCAAAACAAAAATGTATTGTGTCCAACCATTATATTTCCAAACTTGTTTTTGGACATGTTATTTGAGATTTTTTTTGCAAAATTTAAAACATTTGCATGTCTCCGAATAAAAATCTAAAGAATAAAAATAGATATGAAAAGTAAAATCATTAAAAAGCGAGACCAAGCTATACTTTTTTTCCGGCATGGAACGCATTATCGTATTTTACATTAGTTTCTATGAGGAAAATTGTTTCACTATCGCTTTTCATTATACGAGTAAAAATCCAGAAATTCTGGAACGGATTATGCTCATTAAGCGACGATCCACTGTATATAATTCGTTAGACTTAATATCAACTAATTCAAATCAATCAAATTTTGTCTCAAATCAAGTATATTTATCGATGAGTTTCTCAGCAATCGATGACGCATTGAGCAGATGTGTATTTTCAAGATAATTTCAGGGAGGTGTTGTTTTTTTTTGAATACATATAGAGCGAAGAAATAAAACGATCAAAGGAGGTTTCGATCCATGAAACCACAAAGCACCGGGCCGACACTTTTTTTCAAATCACCTTCGCAATCAATGACGCGAATAATCGATATCTGGAGAAGAGAAGAAGCGGAGCAATTCGATGGAACAGAAGGAGATGGGGAGAAGCGACAAAGGACAAGAAATAAATGCGTTGATTACGAACAGTTAAATTGGAAAAAGTCAAAGGGAGACCGAAAAACAAATATTTCCCAACGTTGGTCGTTAGTTTCAGATCAGTAATATGAACGTCCCAGTGACATAAATTATGTCTAGTCATTAATTAATGTTCATTTATACACGCGCAAAATGAAATCCAATCTTAATTTCAATATTTATGATGATCAAAGCAAAGTTTATGTAACACTTTGAGAAATTATAACTAATAACATAATTATGCATTTGTTGTAGTCATTATCATAGCAGAGAGGATTGAGATCTACTAAACTTGAGGTTAATTAGAAAATCATGCCAAATATATACTGATCAGAATAGATGGTTTATTGTTACATAACATAAGAAGTAACAGGAAACTAGTAGTAAATACCTAAATATTTGTTATATTCAAAATAATTGAAACAAAAACAAGAGTTTCTAATAAAAATCAACGTTTTTTGTGTATTAAACATACATTCCATAGTTGAGTCTTAATTAAATTACGTTCAAAAATAATGATTGCATTTGATTACTTCCTTAATCATTAATAACGCATAATTGAAAGTCGCATTCAATCAATGGTGCATTAAAAATTCATGCATTTTTGTGAAGATATACAAGCACGATGAGCGTGAGGTCATTATTAATTATTTTATAAAAAGAAGACTTATTGCATTTCGCGTACCGATTTATTATTCATTTACACGCCGCATGCGGTGAGGTAAACCAATCGATTTACCTTAACTAATTCCCATGCAAATCCATCGAACAATTACAAGAATCGATGAAAATCAATTATCTATTACTATACTAATTACTTATATTAGTCTAGTAATTACATTATTTTATTATAAATGAATAATAAGTTATTTAATTTAAACAAATACTATCAAAAAAATATACTTAACTAATATAATAGCTTAAAATTACCTATAGAATTGAATATAGTTAATTCAATTCTATCATTTTTTATCAAAAACTAATTTCATTAATATTCCAATGGAATGGCTTCTTAACTCTGGTAATTTTCTATAAAATATACAGGAAATAGGAATTATCCTTTAATTTGGTTGGTATGTGATGAGATGAATCTTGATAGCGCAACAAATATAGAATAAAGAGAATAATAATGTAACTGTGATAATTTTGTTGTATCATGGTATTTTGTCAATATTAAGTTCTTTGTTAAATTGATATATTATGCGTTATTAATTCTTTCCCAACAGTTTAAATACCACTTGTAGTGTTGAGAACTGCACTCGAAGAATTGGTCAATCGTCATTGTTAAAAAATAATTAAATGCACTTTTATGGTTTTATTGCCAACAACTGATTTTATATAAAGATAAAACAGATAATACAATAATATATGTTATAGTGAGCATTATTATATTATTTATACTATTTTTTTAAAAATAGTTACATTTGCCTTGACACATTTATTCGTACTGTTTTCTTTTTATGCAGTAGATTTCTATAAAAAAAAATACATTGTTCGCATAAAAAATTAGGATATATATACATGTTAATATGTTGGTGAAAACTTAACGCCAATCTATATATTACATATTGTAATTCAATTAATTAACATCCGGTATTTTATTTGCATATATCCGTTAACATTGTTATTTGTTACATAATATTATAAGTAAAAGAGAGTTTAATTATTGTATACAAAATTATTAATAATTAAGTGAGGAAGATGATGTTAATAAAAAACAGATGTATAATAAGCGTAGTAAGTACTACAGAAATACCTAGCATAGTCCTGGTAACCGGTTCGCTAAAGTCTCAGACAGTTTAAATCCGGACTAATTAAAAACTTTCAAAACGCATAAATAAACATAAATATTCCAGATATAAACAGTCATTAAAATATTATAATATTAGGGCGCACATACTGATCACCACCTGCATTATTTTGGTACTTAATAAATATCTTTTAGTCAGGGCCGGATTTGAGCCGATTGCGCCTCACAACAAATCAGCACATTTAAAAATTGCTCTGACAGATTTTAATATTAATGATACATCTATTGATATTGTGAACGAGACAGACTTAGACGGTAATATGTCGAAGAAATGGATGTTTTAAAATGTATTCTTTCATCAAACTATTTCCACTATACATTTAAAATGTTTCAATTTTTATATGAAAAGAACAGAGCTACGGCATTTCCAAACTTATCTATTGCCCTTCGAATATATTTAACAATTCCAGTGAGCATTGCTTCTGGAGATAGGTTTAAAACTTATAAAAACTATCTATATTTTTCAGAACAAAAACTTCGGAACATGTAATATATCTTTATAGGTTTATATTTAATAAGATTCAGTTATATTCATTGTTTTTATATTTTTACAGGTTTTTTTTTTAATGTAGAAATTTGTCTACCTTATGACTTTTGATTTTTATAATTGAATTTTGGAATTTGTTTTAAATATATATTTAAAATCTACATAGAAATATGTAAATTTTTGCTGTTAATTGATTTTTTTATTTAAAGTTTAAGGGACCCCGAATCAATCGGGCCTGGCACTTATTAGACACGGCCCTGCTTTTAGTAGAACGATTTTGTTTAATTTTTGTTTTATTTTTTTTCTTACGTGATGATGAATGATAGACATATAAATATTAATTATTTTATTCATTAAAAATACCTTATAAACAGAATTTATAATGTAATATTGTAGATTATATTTCATATGAATTCAAGAAGAAATGACGTGTTAAAGATGCCGGAGGATTCGGGGGAGGGTTGAAAGTAACCCTCCGCTGCACCCCCTCGTGAAACCTCTCCGTTTCTTATCTCATTGATGGCATTCCTGGTACAACTTGCTTTCTATGTGCCATCGCCGATGTCGCATTATGTAGTATATTATTGATGGAAACGAATATTACGTGCCTGTGTGACATTCGTTTGGCTTTCCACAATGAATTATAGAGGACGGGAGCCGCCGCCACCACTTTTTAAAATTGATTAATAACGCGATGTGGCCTAGCACATTATTCAAAGAGAGCCGCTCGCACCCCCATTTGAAAATATTTCTATCCACATCCAGACTAAAGTATTCCATACAAAATTGTAATTGAAATATTGCATATTAACGTTTAATTATTAAATATTAAGTTTAGGAAATTTTATTATGATTCTAATAAAAATAATGTAAAAAAATCAGATGTATGACAAGCGTACTAAGTACTGCAAAACCTCGCATAGTACTGGTAAACGGTTCGCTAATATCCCAGTCATACGAGACGGGATGTTTTTCTACAGATACCTATTCTTCGGGGGGTCCTTTAATTATTTTAAGTACAAAAGGGGGCCAAAAAGTCTGAGAAACACTGATTTGCTGATACTCATATGTAAATTAGGGTGCGTTTTATGCATCGAATTAGACTTCGTTATCATACAAAAATATTGAAACATTAGTAACTGCATTTGTTAGAAAGTATCATTTCCAATAATTGCAATAAAACATTATCATATTTTTCAAATTGTACTGACTTTAGTGGACCTTCGATTCTCGATTCTCGAACAATTCGATTCACAAACAACAACTATAAATATAAAACTAATAAAAAGTTTCCGAAAAATAATTAATTTCTATCATTGTATTTCTGTATTCATGACGCTATATATAACATACAGAGGTAAACATTAATTTTGAATAATTGCAAAATACAATTAAACATAGGTCTTTATTGTATATGATTATTGATCTTTAATATAAATGTATTCATGAAAAAAAAATAACAAAAACAAATTATATTGTATAATGAATATATTTGGTTTTGTAAAAAACATATATTTGTGTGTAGTTGTGTAAAACAATGGGTATTTTTGAGATTCGAGTGGGTTTGCAATAAATTATTCAATGCATTCAATGCTGCTATATCGCATATGTAATTATCGAACGTTCCAGTTAAAAGTTTCATGTGCGTGTTCTATTATTATTAACGCTCACTACTAACTCTAAAAGCACACATATTAAATGCTACAAAATGCACAATACATGCATTAAAATATACAAAACACACAACTCGTTTAAATCAAGTAAATATTAAGTATAATTCATTTTCTTCAACTCTTATAAATAGTTTCATATTTATAGTACATTTTTTTAATTTTATTATAAATTATCTAATATTGAACATATTAACTTCATAAAATTGTAATATAATGAATACAGAGTTTATCACAATATTATAAATATAATATATAAACATGATTAGGTAACTTAATTACGTAATATGATTGTACTAATTATGTTATGTAATCGAAGTTTACAAGAAAAGCGATTTCATAATCTATAGTTTAGGGCGACTAATAGCCGAATGGTTAAGTCGCCCTAACCACGATTTCGTGGGCGCCGGTTCAAATCCTGGTCAAGCCATGCCCTTTGTGAGCCTTCTTGGTGCTTGCAGCAATAGGGCCATCGTTCATCACAGATGGACAGTGAAATGAATGAGGTTCAGCATATGGACCTTCAGCCAAGTCGATGAAAAATGACAGTGTTAAGAATAGCAGCAGATTCACAGTCAATGGAAATAGTGGAATTAACCTACAAGACGACAGCCAACCAACAAAGTAAAATCTAATCATCATAATGGTAACTATCCAACGGGAAAGATTATCCATTTAATGTCAACCGCGATCTTAAATTTACACAATGTTCACATTGATAAACAGATTGTAAATAAAATTGCACGACATAAAAATATTATAATGAGTTTATATAACACTATAATTTCAACACATCATATTTTCGAGTCCTTAGTAATCATTACTTAATTAACTTTTTTTTTATTATAATTTGGTAACAAATATTCTGTATTCTCAGTCGAAAATTGTATTTAAACATTTTTAAAAGTTTGAATAATAATTATCAATTAGTGAACTGTGTTAGTTGTGGATCTGTATTTAAATTACATGGTCAAAAGCGCGTTGCTTTTGCGCGTTGTACAGTTTGGGATCCCCTCACATACATCATTCATAATATATTCTTTGCTTTCTCAAATATATAAATACTATCTTTTATACAATTCTCGGTTCGTTAATTTAATGAATAACACCGAAGCATGTGAATTACAAAAATCTTTCAACGCTCTTTGATCTACGCATTAAATTGAGATGATCATACAATGCGATCCAATTAACCTCTTAATGTTTATATTTCGGTGTCACTTCACTTCAAGTGTGAGTATGTATACCTATCTGGGTTTTGTATCCACGGTGAATTGAAAAGAAGACTCTCCTCTCCTTTTTGCGTGGGACCATGGCTCCGACCGCATAGGTCCCATGCGTGAGAGAGAAAGAGATATAATATTCAGGTGATTGCGGCGAGCATTCCCATGAATTAAACAAAGCTGAGCGATCATGCGAACAGTTTGACCCCCATATACATGTGTATATATATAGTACAATGGTGTAACGCAAACATGTATATATATATACCTCACATCTATATTTGATCCCTTATATATGGTGCACTGTCCCTGCATCGGCTTTATTTACTTTATATTAACCACTTAAGGGTTAAGGCCAACTGGATCCCACAAAAAGATGGAATCAAACCCCTTTTTCTTTTCGAACCCGATTCGTTGCACCCCGCCACCTTTTTTGTTCGTACATGAGCACCCTTGCCTACAAAACACACTAATTCGATTAACTTTATATGATCACGTTTATGTCACTGTATAACCCCCATTAATCTTGTTTTTTTTTATAATCATAGAATATAGAATAGATTCCACCTTCTGCATATTAAGTAATTAATCAAATCTATTACCTTGCTTAATACTAATATAAGCAATGCTACAAACAGTTATATGATTTAAATACTAGTTTTATTCATTGATGAAAACAAAATCGTTGTAATAAATTAACTATTGTGATTAATTAACACCATATTTGTATTTATTCATAGTAGAAAAATACACCATTACACATTATATATAAATATTCTAGTCTACTATATTTTTTTAAATTTAATATTCATAGACATATAAAAACAGATCAGCAACACTTTAACACGTTTTTATAATCACGATATGCATCCACAACGACCTTTCCTCATATAAGTCTTACTTCCTGATAAAAATACTTTAGATAGGAATTAATTAGTAAAGGTGTGATTACCACATGATAATACGCTGTAATGAACAACAGACCAAGATTGGAAGAATAAAACATAGGAGGATAAAGAAGGAATTCTTACTGAAGATAAAAAAAAATATAATTCAATTATTCTACGTTATACTATTTGATAGAATACAGTTTTTCCAAATGCATTTTTGTTTCAAAAATACAAAAAACCCAAATAAATGAAGTGAAATAGTGGAAATATTGGTTAAAAGAGGGAATACACAAATGCTTCATCATTTTCAATGAACTGGAAATGTAAAACGGATTATATATTCAGTTGCATGGATGATCAATGCAGTATAGGGTAAGATCAAAAGAATATACTATAGAAACACGTACAAACTAACCAACTATTAGAATCAATTAAGTTTAAAAACATATAACATTATTATACAAGAGAAATTCCAAATAAACAACTATGGTAGAATTACAGTGTTAATTATTACATTTAACTAAATTAAATAATTATCAACACAAAGACTTCTATATAAATATTAAGTTAATATTTTATAACGAGGACTTGCAGGCAAATAAAAATTATTAAATAAATATATAATATACATTATTATTCTAAAAATCCGTAATATTTTAGTTATGTTTAGCTTATATAATATGCAGAATTGAAATCTGTGTACGAATAATAAATGCTTCGAGATCCGGAACAAAATAGACCCAATGCGTGTGATGGGAAGAAAAGAGTTCTCGCTCAGAGAAATTCCTCGCGAATCCGGTTATATTTCACATAGTTAAAACAAGGAAACTAAAATATTTTGTACACTTTATATCCAACGACCTATTATTATTATATAATATAATAAATTAAAATATTTACGAATGTATATCAGGAAATTGTACAAGATGATTGCATAAAACATTAATATATTTTGATTTTATGTGTTAACATTGAAGTTTATAAAGTCGATGAATCATGAAATAACCGGTAGTTTATTTATATAATATTTGTTGCTTTAGAGGTATTCAGTACAGTTATTATATAAAATAAAATAGTAAACGTAATAAAAGTATGAATAAAAAAAACGAAAATTATACTTTTGGGAATATATGTATATCATAGATTAGGAAAGAATATTCAATTATACAAAAGAAATATTTTATTGCATAATAAATTATAATAGCTAATTGGGGAGGAAATAATGCGATCAATTGCCCTTTCTGTGTTGTTATACAATAAATTTAGTTTATTAATAGCTAATTACTTAAACATTTGAAATATATTTATATTGATTGATTTATATTTCTAACCTGTGACTTCTCTTTTTTATTATTATCAAGTAGTGTATAATATTCCTTTTATATTTAGTAAAAAAAAATCATAAGGTGGAGTATGACGCTGAAGATTTAGCATGACATAAAAATTACAGTAAAAAAGTTAAAACTCAACGTATTATCAAGAACATTTAAAATGTCAAGTTAATGGTTTGAACTGATTCAAACTGTTTGAAAAGATATAAAATTGAAATCAGTTACTAGAGAAATATCTAAGAAGTTTAGTTTCAAATATACCACTACTAGTATTCTTGAATGTTAACAATCCTATGATTTAAACCATTTGACTTAAGTCTTATATCCGTAACTTCAAAGTATCACAGACGTATATTCAAGTTATCACAGTATTTCTGTGTAGTCGTGTCACAGTATAAAAGAAATTATATGTTTTATATAATAATATAAAATTCGAATATAGCGAGATTAGACTTATTTCTTGTGAATAATTGAAAATAAAAAAGGTTTTTGTCCATTAATGAATTAGAAAATGCGTTCACAACAACAATTTTGTGATCAAGGTCTTATACAGAAATCGTACTCTTTGAATGCAACTGGAATGCCAATAGGAATTTCTCCCACTTAGATCCTTTGTATTACTTTTCTTAAGTAAATCATGCGTAAACCGCGTCGCACGCCACTGGATTATCTCCGTGATTAAGTAATTTCGATGCAATTAGATTTGACTGGAGTTAATAGCCAACCGGTATCGCTGGGAGCACGCATAGTGCACGATAGACACAACAACAGTTCAGAAAGTTTACATGTGTCGGGATGTGCGAGAGGAAGAGAAACAGACCGTGTATAAAAAGAACAGTAGTTTTTTTTTTAATTTCATCGTTCTCCCATCCCGGTAAGAAACGGCGGAGAACTTACCGGAAAACGTGATTTTCCGTGTGTGGAATGTCGCGAGGGCGGCTGTTCTTCTTCTGTGGTCTTCTTCCTTCCCTTAACTTATCCTTCCCAATCCTGTCGGCTTTGGAAAACTTTTTTGTTTAGCGTAAAGCGGATTGCATAAAATCTTCTCTCTCTGGTTGGATGTGTGTGTATGTTTTATACCTGTATAACTTTTTTTTCGGGGTTTCGTCGTTGTGAAATGAAGGACATTCACATGATCGGACACCAGACACAGACCGGGGACGGCGCGCACCTAAGAGGATCACTTTCGATTAAAACAATTACTAATTAATTTAGTAGATTTTAAAAACGTAAAAAAAAGACACTTGACAGAAGAACCACCGAATTCTTCGCCACTCGCGTACGCCATGTTGGTTTATTTCAAAAATTGACACCGGTGTTGCCACCTGTCGGATCACGGCCCTAATCTGCGGAAGAGAATTCCTCTTCATCCCGAAATAATTGTTCCGCTCGTTGAAGACACACACACACACACGCATTAATTGTGGACCTAATCAATTGCATTCCACACGTAACGGCATAGCCATACCAAAAGTTCCATCGATCAAACGTGAAACTTGTTTACCCAAAACCGGAAATAAGTTCATACATTTCCGTCTCGTAGTCAATGCGACCGTATCAATAGAAAAGTATGCTTTAATTTAAACCTTAACATTATTAAAATCTTTATTAGTTTTTCTTTCAAATGTTTACAAATGGAAACGTCTTCTGTTGCTCTCCAAGTCGTGTCTTCGGCCCTCGATGATCCACTCGTACTGACCATATTTACTATCGAATGTACCTTTCTGCAATGACCTTAGTTTCAGAGTGAACCTTGGCCCTGTTTCAAACAGTTTCGATCTCTTTCCATCTTTATCAAACTCATACCTAAAACATAAAATTAAGTCATATTAATTTATAAATCAGAATAAACATTGATAAAAATAGACAATTGAATTAATTTATAATGACTATCAGAAAATGATGAATATATCTATTTTCTATCACGGCAATATCGTAAGTTGACAAATATGAAGTTTAATTAATAATTGTTTAATGATATTAAAAAAAAATGAATACTCACAAATAATGTCTAAAGAATATGTAATCTCGCTGATTGTGGAAGGCTACAGCTCTGCGACCAACGAATTCAGGATTATAATGGAAAAGGGCTCCTAGCATGCGTCCAATACCCAAACCAAGTCTAGTCGAAAAATTATTCAAAATAACTTCAGGCCTGTACAAACTGATCCTTTTATAATCTTTGTTCATGTCAGTTGTTAATTTTAGACTTGACAATTTAAAGTGGGCTGTTGGGCCATTTGGTAGATGAATGACTAACAAACCATTCGGTTGCCTCCTGTTTTCATTGATAATCAAAATATCTGTGAATTCCTTCTTAATACCTTCCTTCACCAATTGTTTAATTCCCAAATGGTTTCTCAATAATCTTCTTGAGTTAGGGATTATCCTTTGCAACTCTTTACCAAAAGTCCTAGTCCTCTGTAAATTATATAAAACTTAATAATTTCATCTCATAGTTATTTTTTTTTAAACTTACGCTAACAGGATTTTCTGCATATGTTATAAGCACTTTAGGCACATAGCTGTTTTCATAATATTTTGAAAATTCATCCTGCTCCAAATCAGCACGAATAATCTCATTGTCTTCGTCATTCAAATCACCAACAGTTGTCTCATCTTTTACTCGCAATGATTCAATGGTATGTGGGGTCTTCTTCTCACCACCAATCTCTCTCTTCTTCTTGATATCTCTTTTAATCTAAAATAGAGGCAGTTAGTGAGAAGAAATTAAAAAATTTAAATTTATAAAATCCTAACCTTCTGTTGTTCCTTTTTGTATTTGTTATAAAACTGATTTCGGACAACTTTGTTTCTGATGAGACCAAACGAAGTCTCTTGGGGCATCAACACTTCACCTTCAGTAGAGGGTTTCAGATCATCCTCCGTCTCCTCTTTAATTTCGATTTCTTCCACGTGCTTAACCATGTTGGACGTATGGTTAGTAAACATAAACTGACATAGCCAAACATTTTCAACTGAACTTCTCTAAATTGTAAGTTATGCAATTTATCTAACACATTCCATAGATCAAGAAATCAAGTATGACTGGTTGTCTAGTTTTTCTTTAAATTTAATTATAGACTTTAAGAAATCCTTTCGATCATCAGAGTAGATGGAACCCCTGCACGAATTATCTTACAAAACCTGTCCAAGAAGAAATCCTTTCAAATAGTTTCTGATTGGCGTCTATTGGGCGCAATAAATGATAGGAGACGCAGCCGCCAGGTGGCAGGGTATGATGAAGGAAGAAAAAATATTTAAATAATTAAATTCTTAATTAAAGATTTTTCAAGTTTACTCCTTAATATAATAAAAATAAATTCTTAGAATAATCCATAAAATATTTTCTTTTACAATTTGTATCAATATTATTAAAATTTAATAACTTTTAATTTTGTTAATAAAATTAGTTAAATAGAATGTTATATGAGTAGTATGCAACACTCCAAACATTAAAGCCAAACAAACAAAACACAATTTGATTTATATGTTTCACATGAAACAAAAGTTGTAGAAATGTCGAATGAGTGTAAAATGGACAAGGTGTTTTCAAGTGTTGATATTCTCAGCAGCAAACAGAATGGTTAGAGAATTATCAATCTAAAATTTACATTTTAAATAATCCTTTTATTGTTTGCAGCTATACTATGTGCCTTATCAAAACATTTGGCCATAGACACATTAGATTTTTCATGGTGGAATCTGCGAATTTTCTTCTATCTGTTAGTTTTTGTTAGTGTTATTCTAATATTTATTTACCGCTCATTTAAATTAGCAAAGTTTTACATGAATTATGACAATGGAGTACTAGCTTTGAATAAAGCTACTTATGTAATGTTTCAGGTTTATTTAGAGAAAATTAAATTATTATTACTTTTTGTAGGAGAATGATACTCTTACTGCCTTGCAATTGGCAAGTAAATATCCATGTGCTATTAATAAACCTATAGGACCAGACCAGTTTACTCCATTTTTGGTAAGGCTTCAATAATTTATTGTATATTTAAGTTTATGGAGGCAACAAATCATACATCAACAATTTTACATTAAAACCATGTATTCATGTTCAAGTATTCTTTTGAAATGATCATCATACTAGTGTTGAAAGTATTATATGTATTTTAGAGAGCTTGTTTTCATGGCAACACTCAATTGGTAAAGTATATGCTGCAACATGGAGCCGACGTGACTTCGAAAACAATAAAAGGAGAGACGGGATTGTATTTGGCTGTGTATAATAGGATAAAGAATAGGCATCATAAGGATGCATCCTGCATACATACCCTTTACCATGCAGGATCTGATATCGAGGAAACGAACATGAATGGTTTTACTGCTCTTCAGGTTGCTGCGATATTTGGACATACTTCCTTAGCAAAGTGGCTTGTCAAGAAGAATGCAAATATAAATGTGAACCCGTCGCCGTATATCCTATCAAAAACTGCCGGTAAATTATAATTACATTATCGAAAGTACTTAACATTAAAATATTGTCCCTTTCTAGGACACTATGAGACAACTGAATTTTTCAAAACTTTAGGGTAAAAGAAATGTTTTCATAAAAAACAAACAAAAGAAATATATTTTGTAACTAGTAATTAATAATTGCCTATATAATAAATAAATTAATGCTTAGTTCCTGATTGTAAAGAATGAAGTTTATGGTAGATGCCCTTCTTTTGAAGGAGTTCTGCATGGGTTCCCATTTCGTGGACAAGACCTGCGTTAATAACGCAAATCACATCCGCATCTTGAATAGTTGTGAGCCTGTGAGCGATAGTTATGCACGTTCGACCCTGTTTTGCATTATCCAATGCTTCTTGGACGACCTTTTCACTTTCCGTGTCCAAAGCTGATGTAGCCTCATCCAAAAGCAATACTCTTGGGTTCCTCACTAAAGCCCTAGCAATAGCAACTCTTTGTTTCTGGCCACCAGACAGTTGGGTACCTTTATCACCTAAGGGCGTGTCATATCCCAGAGGCAAGGAGGAAATGAAATTGTGTATGTTTGCGTTCTTTGCTGCCTTAATAATTTCCTCCTGACCGACTTCACGCGAATTGTCTCCATAGGCGATATTTTCTGAGATTGTCCTGTCGAACAAGTTAGGTTCTTGCGAAACAATACCCAAGTTTGATCTCAGTGATTCTAAAGTGATCATTTTCAAATCTTGATTGTCTACACTGACAACGCCGGATGAAGGATCGTAGTACCTTTCGATCAATTGAATTATGGTAGATTTACCGCAACCACTTGATCCGACCAAGGCTACAGTCTTTCCATTCATGATGGATAAGTCTAAACCTTTCAGTACTTCAGTGTCTGGCCTTGTCGGATACGAGAAGAAGATCTTCGAATAGTTTATATTTCCCTTGGACTGAAATCAGATCAATGCTTATATCCTGCAAACTGGTTACTATAAATATATTATATTTACCCATTGGAAATCTAAAGCGTTTGAAGCATTTTTGATAACTGGTTCTCTTCTTAGGAGATTTAAAACCTTAGCGGCTGATTGCAATCCTTTCTGGAAATTAGGAGTGAATGCAAGTGCATTGGCGATGGAAACCGTTCCCATAATTAAAGATTGCGATACTCTAGAAATAAGGAAATAAATATTTTTTTGTAATTTTCATATGTGTCACTTACTTTAGTACTTTGGTGAAGTCCATCTGTTCTTCCCTCATTAGATATCCTCCGTAATACATGCAGGCAGCGAATGCGAAAAACATTATACTACGGGCCAAACCCAAGACAAATGCCCTGAAGTGAAGGTTCTTTTTGGCTCTAGTCGTGTAAGGTAATAGTTGATTTACGTAAATTACGTGAAAAGTTTCTTCGCAACCTAACGATACCACTGTCCGAATATTTCCGACCGCTTCAACCGCTGACTTAGTAGATGTTTCCAATGATTTTCTAAAGTCCGTGTTTTCGGTGAACATCGCTCTTTGCTGCAAGAAAACGGCGGCCAAAATAATTGGGGCAAAGGCCAAAGCAAGCAGACCCAACCTCCACTCGTAATACATTGACAAACCAATGGAGAGAACGAAGGTGGCAATTGATTGGAAAATGGTACCAATACGTTGTCCGGTAGCCTAAAATCATTTGATAAACAAAATCCGTTAACATAGAAAATAAGAAGTAAAACTATATATAAATTTAAATTATACATTTCTTTATTATTTATAAAAGAAGAAAATAGGAGAATAGCCACTATATCTTCGTGAACTATACTTACTCCTTGAATGCTAGATGCTTCGCTAGATAACTTTGCGCATAAAGCTCCAACACCGTTCTCTTTTCTGTCGAACCATCCAATTTCTTGGTGTAAAACAGTTTTGAACATATCTGATCTGACTCTCATCACCAATTTTTCTCCTGCGATACCAAACGTGTATATTTGGAAGAATGTTGCCAAACCAGCTACGATTCCAGCGATTACGAAGTAAATACAATAGAGGTTCGTTTCACTTTCTACATAATCCTCGTCCTCTTCTGAAAGAATCTAAATAATATATGATAATTATTATAATTATATATTTTATAAATATATATTACATACACCAATAATGTCACCAAAGAGAACTGCAAAGATTGGCATGGCACAACCCATAAGCACTGAAGCTATTACACCAATTGTGATTTGCGGCCATTCTGTACTGTTCAAGTTCAAAATTTCCATCCATGTAACTTTCTTCATAAATTCTTCTTCTTCGGTTTCCTAAAATACAGTTTATTAAATATATTTCAATTTTCTCTAAGAAGTAATTACAATATCAACTGGTTTCTTTTCATTTGAAGTCGGTACATCATCTTCGTCTTCTTCAAGTAGATTGACTTCTAAAAAACATAGTAATTGGAATTAATAAAGCCATTTTAAAATTCAGTTTCAACTTACTACTTGTATCATCGTCATTAACTGTAGTTACTTGAGTGGTGACCAAGTTATAGTATTCTCCTTTCTTTTCCATTAAATCTTCGTGAGTGCCCTCTTCGATCATGACTCCCTTATTGATAACAACAATTCGGCTAGCACCTCTAATCGTTGATAATCTATGAGCGACGATGATGGTTGTACATTCTTTGCTGACCTAATACGCAACATTTAGTATTACATATCTTCTTCAACATAATTAATTAGTACACATACATTGTCTAATGCAGCTTGGACTTTAGCTTCACTGTTTGTATCTAATGCTGATGTAGCTTCATCTAAAAGTAATATAGCCGGTTCTCTTACTAGAGCACGAGCAATAGCTATTCTTTGCTTTTGCCCTCCAGATAGCTGAGCACCTCTTTCTCCCACTAAAGTTTCGTAACCCTGTGGCAAAGACGAAATAAATTTATGAGCGTTTGCCTTCTTAGCTGCTTTTTCAATGTCTTCCTGCGTCGCTTCTTTATAACTGAACCTAATATTCTCGGCAATTGATGTTCCAAAAAGTACGGGTTCTTGACCCACAACGCCAATGTTATTCCTCAGCCATGTCAAATCTAGGTCCTTGAGATTTTTGTTATCTAAATAAACCTAAGTAAATCATATATTATTACTGGAAATTAATGAATGCTTAATAACATACAGATCCTCCAAGTGGATCATAAAATCTTTGAAGCAATTGAATGCACGTTGACTTTCCACAGCCCGAACTTCCTACTAAAGCAACGGTTTCTCCAGGTTTAATGGTTAAATTCAAACCATTTAAGATCTATAAAAAAATAATAATTAAAAAAAGTTTTTTTAATTATTGCGTATTAGATCTTACTGGCACTTCTGGTCTTGATGGGTAATGGAAAGTAACATTCTCAAATTTTATATCTCCGATTACAGTTGTAGGTTTCTCTCCATTATTTTTAGATGCGTTAATCGTGGGTTTATGGTCTATGACACCAAATATTTTTGCAGCGGCGCCTTTAGCGATACCAAAGACTTCGATATATGTGGATGACATACCGAAATTCATACTTCCAGTCATGACACTGAAGAATACCTAAAACGTAAGAATTTTTTTTATCAAATGTATACAGACTTAAGTATGATTTTCTAAACTTACGACAACCATGTTTCCAGGTGTATAGGTTTTATCATCCATTCCTCTTTCGTCCAGTACAAATTGGACACCAAAATAGAAAGCTAAGGCGTAACTGCCGTAAATGCAGAACCAAAGAATGGCAAATCCAATACCAGTTAAGAACGATCTCTTTATATTGTTGTCTCGTGCATAAATCAATTCCTTCTCATATCTTTCGGATTCTTTTTTATGTCCACCAAATGCCAATACTGTTCTAATTGTACTAAACACTTCCTCGGCAATGGCACCAGCTGTACCATAAGCATCCAGTTCGTTCTTTGCTAATCTTGAAGTCAACTAAAATGTTTTCAAATTATTTTAATATAGTTTGATACAATATACCTTTTGTATTTCTTACAAAAGCTACTATGCCCATAGAAATCATTGTTACTGGCAAAGATATCAGACATATCAAGGCCAACTTCCAGCCTTTAACTAGAGCTTGAATAAGCGACGCTATGAATGATAATTGAAAGTGCAAGAACATGGCAACCTTTTCACCCAAGCCATCCTCAAGTTTTGTCAAATCACTACAAAAAATATTATCAAATATAGTAATTTGTATTAAAACTAATAAATTTAATTTACTCGGCCATTCTACTAGCAAAATCTCCGGACTGATGCATATCGTACCATCCAATGTCTTGGTTTAGAACATTCTCCAAATATAATGTTCTAATTTTAAAACTCTATAAATTTAGTTTGCTTAACAACAAGATCTGTATGTATCTGCGTAAAGTTGACTTACTTGTCTAATACCGCAATAGTTATAAATAGCTGTGGATAGATAACTCAGAACCAGCATGGCCAAACCAATCAAGCTGTTATAAATCGCGAATTCTTGTATATCATCTTTCAGTTTTTCAGTCGCTTCATAAACTTTCGAAGGATATAAAGTTGGATCGCATTCTGGATCGAATTCTGGATTGCAAGGTACTAGAGCTGTTGCAAAATCGATCATATTTTGGCTCAAAGTACCAAAAACAAGCATATTCAGTGGTTGACATGCTGCTGTTCCACAAATAAATAACGTTGCAAGACTTAAAAGAAATTTATCCAAACCAGTCGTGTACCTAAACTATATAGATAATATAATAAAATATTATTTTATGACATAAAATTATTTGCATTAAATAAAGATATCAAATTTAATCGGAACTTACCAACTTAAAAAATCCGATCGGCGGAAATTCTACTTCTTCTTTTTTGTCATTTTTCTTTTCGTCGGGTTTGACAAACTCCCTGGAATGTCAAGGTTTATGTGCAATTTTTGTTTGTTTTTGGGATTAGATTCAGATTAAATATTATCGTATCATTATTATGATAACGAAACAAAAACACTTCTCAGGTTATTAGCATTTCAATGTCAAATATAAAAAAAGATTAGTTTTAATAATTTTAATAAAGTTTTGCAACATGTTAGATCAAAGCAGCAAATCTTGACAGATTGAAGTATCTCATGTTGAATGATCAGTAAAGATAGTTACTTTAACATACGTATATGAATTATATTTCTGTATTAAACATCAAAGTTTAATGATTTTTGATATATTATTCAGTGAAAAGTAACAATAATTTAATTTGTTTATTTTACTTACGCGTCTAGAGCATCCTGTACTTTGTTTTTCTTTTTCGGCATAGTCTCCAACTCGATTTTCTTTTTCATCCTACTTTATCTAGGACAAAAGAAAAGTAGATTACATAAGACTGCTAAGAAAACAGATAAAGCAATTAACTAATAACTTTATTTTCGATTTTTCACGTTGCTCTTTATCTCTCGTCATTGTGTAATAAATATAATGTTTTATCGATAAAATGGTGATAATATAAAGAAGAGAGAGAGACTAAATTAATGTTATGAGTCAATAAATTTTATTGCAATTTTTATACATTAATTACAATTAAAAAGTTTTTCTGTATTCAACAAATATTAATGTTACCTCTGTTATATGTTTACAATACTAACATAATTTGTTAATATTACTAAATTGAGTATATTCACATCTGCACGTGATTGATTTTCTATCAAACTAAGCACGTACAACTTAAACTATTTCGTGCTTTCACACCTATTTTGTAACTGTGCTAAACATTTTATTTTTCTTGATTTGTAACGCGAAATGACTATTCTAGATATTTCTTATTTGATAAAAAAATACTTTTAACACAACTTTATTTTTAGAAACTTACTTGGTTGATTCATCTTTGATATATTAACTTTTAGTAACATTTTATGGTTCGATCACGATTTCTGTTTGATACAAATATGTGTTGTGAAGCAGGTTATCAAACGAGGGAACAAATGAAGCATTTAAGTTTAGTATCGATTATGGAGAATGAATGGGAATTTTCGCTGATGGCACCTGTTGTTGGATCGATTCGATCGCGCAACACAGTTTGAATACCCGAAATCGATTGAAGGACGATTGTCTCATTTAGTTACCTGCGTCCTCAAGTTGTTCAGTTTTGTTATACAAAATCCCTATGTTCTTGCTGCTGCTGCAGTCTGTCGTAGTCAATAGGCACAGGTGCACAATTCAAGTCTGATTGATAACTGCACAAGTATTCAATTTTTTCGATCGTATTTATTATCAATACCTTATCAAGGTTATCAGCTTGACAATACACCCCTAATTGATAAATATATTTTTCTTTTATCAGCCTTTCTCGTGTTCTTTTTGTTTTTGTCAGATTTCGAGGCAGTCGCCAAAAAAATCTCTATAGTGTTTTATTGTAGACGGCGAATTACGTATCCTTCATAATTTGATAGATAATCATTTGGATTAATGATAACGCAATTCTCCCACTCAAACATCAACGATTGCACTCTTGATTCTCGTGGCATGATTATGCCATTATTATAAAATTTTTACTTATGATCAGATATGCGTTGCAATTCAATTAAATATTTCAACAGTTAACAATTTAATTACAATCAAACTTATTTAAGAAATACGTTTCTTGTAATGCAATAAATAACATATGTAACTTTACATGGTTTTTTTACAGTGGAACTTCGTTTAACGAGTTTAATACGTTCAAAAATTTCCGGATTTTTACTCGTATAGTGGAAAATATTCAAAAATACAAATAATATGTGTACAAGTTTTAAAAATAATGTAGTAGATGAGAAAACCGGGTCTTCTCTTCTCATCGTTATGCGAGGTGCTCGTTAAACGAAGTTCCACTGTATATCAATTATTATTGATATAAATCTCTTTGGCTATATTTCCACCCCCCATTTTTTGGTGGTTTTGAGGATCGAACCAACTTTTCCGTATCGGATTTTCGTGATACAACCGACTATAATCACACGGCTACGGCTGCCCTATTACATGTATTAATTTAGTGTCATTTTTATTGACTTAAAAATATTATTTTCATAAATTAAATGCAAATGTTTCGATTAACATTTTTGTTATGGTATTTCAGAACTGGTACAAACAAATCTAGGTTATATCGATGTATTTAAAAAAAATAAAACTTTTTTGCTTAGTTCATGCACGTAAATGATATAATAATCGCTCATCGATCATTTGATCTCAAAATCGTGAATCATCTGTTTTGATGGCAATCATCGGAATTAAATAGGATTAAAATTGTCTTTCATATTAACACAAATATATATAATTGTTATACGATTATTTCTCATTTCTTCTATAGAATTTTAGTTATAGTTTAGGCAAGTTAATACAACAATTTAAAAATAATAATTTAAAGAATTCAGCAGTTGGTTCACAAACAAATCTGTTCGAAGTAACAAAACAGTTATAAATAAATTACTCGCTCACAATTTAAATCTAAACCTGCGTTTCTCAACTATTATCCCTGGAAAAAGGTTGAGAAACACTGATATATATTATATTTTATTTGCAATAACTTATTTTGGATCGACGTAGCTATTAAATTATATTTACTAATTTAAAAAAAAATAGAGTCCAATATATAAATTAAATAAATAAAATATTAAAGCATTGCATAAGAATGTGCAATAGTTAATGACATGAACAGAGATACATAGATTACAATAAACAAAAAATTATATATTAAATAACTAATAAGTAAAAAATAACTAAGAACATAAAACAATAGATACTCTTAAATTCAGATTATTTTCAAATTATTGGTTGAAGTAAGTACATTGAAATTCAACTAATGTATTTATATTATTAACTATCATATACATAAAATATATTATTGTGATTTTAATGATACTATATATTTGAAGCTTAGGGCGGAAAGACTGAGGTCAATAGACTATTGTATGTTTTTATATAAACAATATTGTTTAATATTATTTGAAGATTAATAAATACTTGTAAAATTGGATAAATACGAGAGAATCAAGGAATGGTGATTAATATTTTCACTTAAATTACTTTAAAGATATTGAAGATACGATGTATATGGCTGCTGATAAATATTGTACCAATTGATTGAAGAATTATATATTTTGTATTTTTATTGTATATTTTCTTAAAAGATTTGTTTCTAAACATGAATATAAAATTACTAATATCGTTTTCATACTTTGATTATTAAATAATCGATATTTTTTTACATACATTGTACGTATAATTAATTGGAAATAGTACTTTCATTTAGATAAACGCAAACTTTGACCATGATGTCGCGTATATATTATGTAGATAAAAAATTAAATTCTATATCCAATAATTTCTGATAGTATCAAATTTAATAGTTGCACGAGGTTAAAACATTACCAACTATAAGCTTGTAAGAATCATAATTCTTAAAATCTATTTAACATTTATAAATATATAAATAAATAAACAGCAACTACTTACGAATTAATATAATTGGCCAGAAATAGAATATCGATTAGAATGATATTTATTCCTGATCCAACTACGTCGAGTTTATGTCGATTACTGAATAATACTAATCGTAAGGTAGTGTTTTTTAATTGTTTTTATTAGAAATCAAATTGCAATATCATTGTGGCGTATATTACTGATAAGATTTGCGATCATATCATGTAAACGTGTTCTTTATGTTTTGAAATGCGATTCAAAAATTCGACAAGATCAATGCTACCTACGAGAATTTTCAGTCACTCACCTTCTAAAAATACTGTAAGCTGCAGTTTCGTAATAAAAAAAAAAGTAAAGTTTGAGTTGATGCCAAACTTAGTTTAGTACAAGCCAACAATAGTGTAACTGCATATCCACTCTGTAAGAGAGAAAAACGATTATAATGAGAATATAAATATTCAAAGTATGTCACTGTTTAAAGTCCGAGCGTCAATGGTCCTTCCTTCAACATCTAAAAAATGGTATTTTTTTTGTTCCATTAGTTTAATCAAGTATTATTTATTGTGATTAAATGTGTACAAAGTCGCCTTGAAGGACGTTTATATTTGATTGTTTTTATCAACCTTTGTAATCAGAAAGACTGTGTAATTTCTCTAAAAAATGTATCCATCAATTGCTTTGAGAACGTGCATTTTGCCTGCATGCTATTTGAGTTGCTGCTCTAGACCAGCGGTCTCCACTTTATTTTAACCCCACAGACAACTAAACGAAGAACCACCACCATGATTTTTTTTCATCCAAATATGAAATGGTAAAAATGCAAGGCGCATAGGCGCAAATTGTTGCAAATAAGTGTGGGAACCTGGGATACCAATAACTATCATAAAAATAAAATTATTGTCAACATATAAATTTTAATTTTTATTAAAATTAGTGAAATATGTCTTACATTGTATACTTGGAAACTTAAGATTACATGTTTAATTATATATTCATTGTTGTAATACTTTATCACGTAAATAAGATCTATGAAAGGAATTGTACTAACATATCCACGATTTTTCTTAAGTATCCTCTTCATCTATGTCCCATTTGCATGCTGTAGAGTTTATGGTAAAGTCCCTTCAATGCTAACAGTTCCGAATGGCTACCCATCTCCGATACCTCACCTTTGTTTACTACGCAGATTACATCAGCGTCTTGGATAGTTAATAGCCTGTGAGCTATGGTTATGCAAGTCCTGCCGGTCTGTGCATTATCCAAGGCTTCCTGAACAATCTGTAACAAAAAAATATTTTCATCAAATAAAGTTTAGATTAATGTTTGTTGTTCATCAATTAACTGCTATTAATCAAAATGACCTTGAAGAAATTTCCATTATGTAATTGAACATGTATTAAACCTAATGTAAAAAAGTGTATTATACCTTTTCGCTCTCAGTATCCAAAGCGGACGTTGCTTCATCCAGTAAAAGTACTTGAGGGTTTCGTACCAAAGCCCTAGCTATAGCAATCCTCTGTTTTTGACCACCAGAAAGCTGCGTTCCTTTCTCACCTAATCGAGTTTCGTATCCCTGAAATAAATGTATAAATACGTGTTTAATTAATAAATGTTTAAATTACTTGAGGTAAAGCAGTTATAAAGTTATGGATGTTAGCGTTCTTCGCCGCTTGGATGATCTCATCTTGTTGAACTATCCTAGAATTGTCTCCGTACGCAATATTCTCCGCTATTGTCCTATCAAACAAATTAGGTTCTTGCGATACGATGCCCAAGTGTTTCCTCAACGATGATAACTTGACGTTTTTCAAATTCTGGTTATCGATATCGACAGCTCCGCTGGAAGGATCATAGAACCTCTCAAGCAACTGAATTATCGTTGATTTTCCGCATCCGCTGGGTCCAACCAAGGCCACGGTCTTCCCATGCAATACCTCCAAGTTCAAATCTCTAAGAACCTTAATACCAGGTCGAGTAGGGTAATTAAACTTGATGTGTTTGTAGTTGATGCTGCTGTTAGCCCAAGACAACGAGGTTGAATTCTGATTATCCCTAATCGCAGGAATCCTTCTCAACATTCTGATCAACTTTCCCGAAGACACGACACCTTTCTGCAAGTTCGGTGCAAAAGCCAACGCATTTCCCACAGCCCAAGCTCCGGCAATCATCGATTCACAAACTCTGAATAATAAAATACATTTAATCAATATTCCCTAGATGAAACTAAGTTTAATTTACTTGAAAACCAATGAATAGTGCAATTTCTCGTTCTGAATTAAAGTTCCGCCGTAGTAGATCGAAGCTGCATACGTAAAGAACATCAAACTACGGGACATTCCAAGAATGATACCACGCAAATGCGTGCCTCTCCTAGCTTTCCTGTAATGCGGTCCCAGCACTTCCAAGAATTGCGTATGGAAGATCTTCTCGCAACCTAACGAAGCCACTGTTCGAATATTGCTTATTGCTTCAACTGCAATCTATAAGAACATCAAAATAAATTTAAAATATTTCTTATTTAGTTATCAGTACTTTTGATGATTTTTCTACAGCATCCCTGCTTCCCCCAGTATCGTTGTTCACTAACTTCTGCTCGAAATAGATGGCCATAAATATTAATGGTACAAAACAAAGGTTGACCAAGGTTAATCTCCATTCAAAATAGAAAGAAAATCCAATTGCTAAACCTAAACTAGATAACGAATTAACGATTGTCCCGATGGTTTGACCTGAAGCCTAAGAAACAGAATAAGCTTATCTGAATAATAATTTATTGAATTAGTTACCCCTTGCACACCGGACGCATCAGCTGATAGTTTCGTACATAAAGCTCCGGTTCCATTATCCTTCCTATCGTACCAACCAATTTCCTGTTTCAGCATTGTCTCAAAGAGTTTAGATCTCACTCGAAGCGTTAGCTTTTCTCCAGAAATTCCAAATAGATACCACTAAAAACATGTAGGTGTTTACGGATAGCTAATATTGATATTAAGACTTTTTTTACTTGAAAGAATGCCGCGATTCCAGTTACAACACCTATTATAGCAAAATACATGCTGAACTTGTTTCCTTCTGTTCTAACAAAATCCGTATCGTCGTCGCCTAGGATTCCAACGATATCACCAAAAACAATCGAATATATCGGAAGAGACGCACCGGAAATTGCAGCGCCGATGCACGCAATTATTATATGCATCGTTTCCGGTTTGTTCAATTTCAAAATTTCTCCAATAGTTGTCCACATATTGATATTATCTTTTTCTAATACTTCTTCAGCCTGAAATAAGTAAAATATAATTAATTTTAGTTCGGTGTGGAATCAAGGCATATTACTTGAATATCATTTGAAATAACCGATAACTTCGGTGAAACTTCATTATTACTTTCATCTAAATCTGTCATGTTGTTTTCCTCTAAAATATAATTATTAATAAACTGATATTATTTATTTAATGATTAAAAAATATCAAACCTAAATTTCCTTTAACTTCGCTGGAAATCTGAGAAGTAACTAATTTATAGTAAGCCGATTTCAAAGACATTAACTTGTCGTGGGTGCCTTCTTCGACTACTTGTCCTTCCGAAAGCACAACAATCCTGTTCGCACCTCTTATAGTTGACAGCCTATGAGCAACAATTATTGTCGTGCAACCTTTACTAGCCTGAAAAAATATACATATTAATATCATGTATTGATTATTAAAGTAAATAATTTACGGAATCTAAAGCTGCTTGGACTTGAGCCTCGCTGTTTGTATCTAAAGCTGATGTAGCTTCATCCAAAAGCAGAATCGCCGGCTTCCTAACTAAAGCCCGAGCAATGGCGATTCTCTGCTTTTGACCTCCAGATAATTGGGCTCCCCTTTCTCCAACTGTCGTTTCGTATCCTTGCGGAAGGTTTTTAATGAAGGTATGTGCGTTTGCCTTTTTAGCAGCTTCTTCGATCTCATCTCTAGTGGCAAACTGGTTACCGTACCTGATGTTCTCTTCAATTGTAGTTCCAAACAGCACAGGCTCTTGACCCACGACTCCTATTTGAGATCTAAGCCACCTTAGATTTAAATCTTTCATATCATTACCATCGATAGTCACCTACAAAAACAGTATTAACTAACTGTATTATTTTATTACTAGTTAAATTACTCTTCCATTTAATGGATCGTAAAATCTTTGGATTAATTGGATGCATGTGGATTTACCGCAACCAGAACTTCCTACTAAAGCCACAGTCTCCCCCGAGTTTATATTCAAATTTAAGCCTTGTAAAATCTAAAATATAATTTTTAAATGTAGATTTTTTTTCTCGGCTATATGAACAATTACCTTAACATCCGTCCTTGAAGGATAGTTGAAATGGATGTTCTCGAATTTAATGTTTCCTTGCAAGGAACTAAATTTTTTTCCAGATGTTTTTGATAAATTTACTGTTGGAGGTTCATCGATAATAGAAAATATCTTGCCCGATGCGGATGCGGCCACGCTGAAAATTTGGAAGAACGGTGCGCATTGACCGAAGTTCCACGTTGCAACCAGAACTCCAAAAAACACCTGAGTAGAAGTTCAAGTTAAATTCTACAATACTTCATTTAATTATCAAATATACCGTGATCATATTTCCTGGTGTATATACTCGTTCCTCATCCGACAAGTATTTCTCATCTATAATAAGTTTGATACCATAGAAGAATGATAAAGCGTAAGAACCATAAACAAATAGCCACATAGATCCGTTACTGAAAGCCGTAAATAGCCCTCTCCTAATATTGTTATCCCTAGCAACAAACAGACATTCTTTGTATCTGTCAATTTCCTTTTGCTGTCCGTCGAAAGCCATCACAGTTCTGATTGCTCCAAGAACTTCCTCGGCTATGGCACCTGCCGCTGCATAAGCGTCCATCTCTTTCTTCACCAATTTTCCGCTAAGCTAATCAAAGCTCATCAAAGTTAGTTATAGAAGTAAAACATATTTGGAAAAGACGAACCCATGAAACTAAACCCATTGCTACAAGAGATACCGGAAGGTAAATCAGGCAGATCAAAGACAATTCCCATCCTTCGATCAAGGAAACGATTAAACCCGAAAAGAATGTGGACATGTAAAACACGAACGTCGACAGTTTGTCGCTCAACGCATCTTCAATTTTACCCAAATCCCTTCAAAAAAAAAACAATTAGAACCTATTAATTAATCCAAATCTTGTATGACTGACTCCGTTATTCTGCTGGAAAAATCGCCAGTTTGATTGACATCATACCAAGCGATATCTTTGTTCAAAATGCTCTCCATATAAATTGATTTTAGTTTGGAAATCTGAAATTAATAGATCACATTCATTACCAATATTGACTAGATTGAAAGTAATTTACCTGTCTTATTGAGCTTCGGTTCACCAACACCACTGATATATACATACAAATGACAGTGACAAAACCTAATATGGACGTTTCAATACCAAACTTTCTAATGCCCTCGATAAAGGTATCTTCTGCAATTGAGAAGTCTTCTTCGGAGACGGTTTTGTTGTAGAGAACTACTGAAAAGTTGATCATGACTTCCGTCACGTCGCCGAAGAATATGAACATGAAAGGTTGTGCGACTCCGGCGAGGAGCGAACACAGCCCACCGATTGATAGATAGCACCAGTCCAGACATGTTGCAAATCTAAACTGAAGGAAAACAGGAACGAATATTGAAAATTAATAATTCTTATTCAACCAGTTTTATTAGAAATTCTCACCAATCTGAAGAATGAAACTTTTTCTGTTATTTCCTCTTTCTTTTCTTCAGTTCTGTAACAAAATATACATTGATAAACGTTGATAATACAATTAATCAATATACGTTCTAAAATGCGTCAATATGTAAAAAGTAACATTGATAAATATTCACCAAGTATTATATAAAAGTTTTATCAATATAAAAATAAAAGTTATTTATATAAAATTAATGTGTAATATAATATATAAAACCTTTAAATCTATAAACAAATATGTATAAGTTATGAATATTTCCAAGTAAAACAATGAGAAACTATTAGAATTATAAACATAATATAAACTTGACTCTTTACCTTGTTTTGAAAAACATAGATTTTGTAAGTCATGTAAGTGGTCTGAAACATTTCAATAAATATGTTTTCTCTGACGTAATATTTTTTTCTAGAATGTCATTATCTCATTTGAAGTATTATCTATCATAAAGTTTTTCATATTTTTAAGTTTAAATGTATAATATATAAATTCATATCAAAAATATTAAAATGATCAAATAAATCATTGATTGAGTTTAGATTATATTTTCGTGTATAAACACGCGTATCGTGCTTGCTGATAAGAATATGTTTATTGTGTATATGCAAATAACTCTGTTCATTTCTTTTAATAATTTATGAGAAAAATAATACATTGTTGATGTTTTATCAAAAATGACTTAACACTTATTTTATGACGAATTTGAGAAAAACAAAAGAAAAAAATACTGTCTACTCTTTAATAAATACAATCAAATATGATATATTTATTGGACCACTTTCAGAGGAACGGCTAATATTATTTTTAATCTTATAAATATGTATTCACATTCAAATAAAAATAATTTCGAATCAGCAATGCAATTTCTTAAATGTTTTTAAAGATGAAAGATTTTTGTCTAAATTTAATTGTTTATTATTTTCTATTTTATGTAATTTTATAGTTTAAAAATAGATATAACTGCATAAAGGAAACATATAATTGTGTGTCCTGTATTTCTAGAATTTACTTATACGGTATCCCCCGACTTACAAACTCCCGGACTTACGAACAAAAATTTAAAAGCTCTAACTTGTTACAAGGAGATATATAGTGATAAAAAAATTAAGAGTCCAAACAAAAATTGATAATTTCTTTAATAAAATATAATATTTTTAGAAGATGAGCTATCTGTTATGGTATAAATTTGGTGGAAAGACCTAATATGAAAGACATAATAATAATCTTTATTGTAATAGTCGAAAATAAAATTAAACATTTTTATTCACAACAATAATAAAAGTAAAACAAAAAATTAATTCTTACAAAGGGAAAATAGGTAATGTTTCTTATTTTTTAGGGTTTGTTATGAATTTTATTATGAATTTATATATTTTTTTTTTATTATCTAGCCAATAAATTATTATGTTTTTTTTTTTAAATAAATTAACAGATACTTATGTAGACTCATTTACTTTAAGATTTCACAAATATTATTTTTGTATGATTCTATGCATGAAATACTGTTGTATTAATATATAATCTTTTGGGCTTTGAGAACAAATTATATTAATTAAAATTAATTCTTATGAGAAAAATTGGTTTGGAAAGTGGATTTTAGAAACGAATTATTTTTGATAATCGTAGAATTTATTCATATGATCAATGAAAAACATATCTAAATTAGAAAAAACCATATGATATTAATGTTGCACTATTAATAGTAACTATTTAATATTACATGTCAAAACATTTTATTACATATTAACCATGGTGAATGTATATGCAATGTATTCCAGATATATGTATTATATAAATTCATTGAATTCAAGTTATCGATTTTATCATTTAAAAATCCTTACGTAATCTTTACACACACACTCAGATTTCACAATAAATTCATAAAAAATATAAATTTAATTTTTTGAAAATACAGAGAAATGATTCATAATAATGCAATATTTTATATTTTTAGAAATGAATTCAATAATAATATGAATAATGATCGACATTAACGTTTTCATATATGATTTATTTATTTAACATATTTAATTTAAAATGCTGATAAGTGAGATTAAATAAAATTTTATTTAATTAGAAATTAGTTAAATTGTTCATATATATTTATTTTAATTTTAAAATAAATTGTATTCAATTTGAAAGGCGCTTGAAAGATTTGAAAGTGATTTATTTTTGAATAATCCTAGTTTCATTAAATTGTTAAACCAGGTGTTACCTACAATTATTTTTGGTAGCAGTCCAAAAAGTTTGACGTTCTGATTATACGAAAGTAAAGTAAATCTGTACATGCATTACATAGTTGTTGATGTTTAACAAATATTGTGAAATAGCACGTTAACATCATTAAGGTATTGATAAGACACGCGTTTCAAATTTTCTTACAGTATTATGTAAATTCTTATGTTGCTTGTTTTTCTATATTCTTTTAGATTTAAATAATTTTAGGAACATCTGGATATTTCCTATTTTTAGCAAAACGATGATACAACTGATATTTTGAAGCGATTACAGATCAATTAACAAAAATAAATGATTTGACAATAATTGATTTAAAAAAAAACCCTGATTTCAGTCCATAGTTCGAACAGTCAAGGCTCTGATGATGAGGATTAGTATCTTACATTTGCGTGACATCGTAACTCTTGGCGCTTTCCTTCTGCTTGTCCAAGGATAACGGTGGTATCTTAAACTTTTTCTTCATTCCTGTTGATGTTTATTTAAAAGAGGAAGAAGAAATAGAACCGTGTTGCAATGTACCGCGAACTTGTGCAAAAATTTGGAAGGAACACAGACAGGCGCGCCGCGTTTCAGGACGAGGTGGGAAGCGTGCTCAGCTGTTGCACGCGAACCGTGATCCTCACGACTAGGACGAGGTTCGGGTCGGCGGCTCGCGGACACCCGATTAATATCCATTATTATCTACGATAGATAAATGAAAAGCGTTTATTCCGTTGTATAATTTACCGTCTATATGCCATTTAAAACAATTCGAGCCAATTAAACGCTCCACATACGACGTACACAGTAGAATCTCATATTTATTAATTGACATTCAATAACGGTCATTTCGTTGTGTCACAGATCGCATTCCAAGTGCCAATCGAAAAAACTGATACAAATACAAACATACCTAATTTTAATTTTGTTTTAATTTGATCTGAAAACCATCATTTTCTTAGATTTTAACACATTTCATTTTTTATAATAATAACATTTATTGTAATAAATCACACAAAATTACATAATAAGAAAATAAAAATAAATTTATCTGTTGCAAAGAGCGACCATAAGTCTCCCTTTTTTTATTATATTAACATTACATTTTTTTAAATTATATTATATAGGCATGCTTTTACAGTCCGTGGCAAAACGAAAGCTTACAGTTGTGCCAATAGGTATCAAACTAGTTTTTCTTCAAAAAAGTTTTGTATCCAATCACCAGTAATAAACATAATTAATCGACTAACTAAAGATACGTGCAAATATATATATAAATCAAATAATTATATATTTTGACTGCAGTCTTTCCATTTAAATATAAATACAATTTCTTAAAAAAAGAACTAAGTTACGTTTATTTTTAAATAAGCAATATATTTATTATAGATACGAAAGATAACAAATATTATATATAGTAAGACCTCGTTTAGCGCTTTAGATGCGTTCCTGAAGACAGAGCGTTAAACGAAACAGCGTTATAGGAGGTCATTTTAACAAATAGCAAAAGGGGAAACGGGAACACGCGACTAAAAATAAACAAATTTTACATTAATTTTAAGTTGTATTTATAGTAATATCCATTATAATATATGTTTTATATAACCCAACCATTTGCACACAGAAATATTTAGTTTATTTTGTGATAAAGGTTTTGGTTTTTCTGATATTGTTGATTTTTTAGCGATAAAACTCCAGTAACTCCTTAATATCCTCCTCATCTACATCTCAAACAAGCATAGATTCTGAGGAAACACAGCGCTGCGTGTTTGGAAATGAATGAAATGCCGCGATAATTTGAATCCGGGTAAATTTAAGGTTTCCAGCAAATCACGTTATAGAAATCAGCGTTAATCGAGGCAGCACTAAACGAGGTCTTAATGTACTTTTGTTAAAACATTTTCCAATAAATATAATAGTTGTCGGTTGCCCATAGTACTTAAACTATTTAGGTACAGTAATATAGATCAGGGTTTCCCAAACTTAAATAATACTGGTGTTCTTTGAAAAGTTGAATGAAATAATCTAAATATATTATGAATGTTTTTTCACATTTGTTAAAATTTTATTGATTATGTGTCATTATGTTCCGTGAAAATTTTAAGATTTACAAAGTGCTCCGTTGCAGGAAAAGTTTGGGAAACCCTGCTAGAGATACATATAACATAAATATACAAGATACATCCGAGAACATATTGACGGTCACCAAGGCCGTGAATGAGATAAATTGTTGGCAATGGAACCTTGCTGAACGAAAAATTAATTGTAAGAAAGATGACTCGAGCGACGTTTCGCATAACGAGTGACGATGAGAAGAGAAGTCCCGAATTTTGCTTCTGCTACATCATTTTTAAAACTTGTTTACACATATTATGTATAATTTTGAATATGTTTCACTATACGAGTATTTCACTATACAAGTAAAAATCTGAAAATTTTGGAGCGGATTAAATTCGTTAAGCGAGGTTCCACCGTAATTGAAGATTTTAACAAATGTTGATGCTCTTACTAAGAAGGAAATGATAAATAAATATTTCCTTGATAAGATTAAATACTCTTAATATAATATATGAACTGTATAATTTTCATTTGTTTTGAATTGTAAATGTTGATAATAATATAATATGCAAACAATGCATTTTTGAGATTTAGTACATTCGTTTTTATCTTAATCTTATTGATAACCAATCGATAATTTGGATGTTGGCCAGATTTATCTGATGATAAAAGTGCACATCAAATGTAGAAATAATTAAAATTCCTTTAGGATAATGACATTTTTTTAAAATAAACATTATATTTTTTTAACTTCTACTTTTATTTACAATCTTTCTATAGAAGAATAGTAAGTAATTTTTTTTAGCGATACAAATGTATTGAAGATGGGGAACTCAACAGTATCCATCTATGTAAATTAATATAATGTCATTTAATTAAATTATGTGGTAGGTTTAGAATTTTGCACTTTTAAGTCTGTATGTTTGTGTTGGATTTACTAGTAGATTTTCCACTAGTTTATCTGGATGTGAATGGAGTCTTCCTTGGTATATTTCACTATAGTTTTAATTATACTTTTAACCGTTTACATTTTCAAATCACAGGGTGCATTGGTGATTGTGTGCAATGTTTTTGATTGGAATCGCTGGAGTATTTCGATGTCAGAGTTGCTTGTTTAAGTATTGATTTGATTATCAATAATTTGTTGTCGAGTGATAGCACTGATTTTCTTCCGAGCAGCCAATATAGTTTGCTGAATTTGCTTCAGACCTAATTGCTTTCTCTTTGTCCATATATATTTCTATCCAGATGCATGCCAAGGTATTTTACATAATCCTCCTGCGGTAAAACTTCGTTATTTAGGATTACTCGAGGACACGATTTCTTCTTCGAGCTAACATGAGTCGATTTCGTTTCGTTCACTTTAATTTTCCATTATTTTAACCAGTGTTCTATTTGATTTAATCTACTTTGCAAGTTTTGTGATGCAACTTCTGGTTTACTGTCAGTCATATCACATTAGTGCAGTGTCATCCGCGAATGTAGCGATAATTATTTTATTTATTGTCGGGAGATCCGACGTGAAGATAAGATAGAGAATAGGTCCAAGTACGCTTCCCTGTGGTAAACCGAATCTAATTAGAAACAAGTTGGAATAATAATCTTGCATCTTTGTACAGCAGTCTGGGATGCCTTCAATATATAACTTGTTCCACAGTCAAATACCCTTTGCGAAAACCAAACTGATGTTTCGGGAGTATTTTGTTTTCTTGGAGTATTGAGCCTATACGTTTTAGTAATATTTTTTCGAAAATTTAGATATGATTGATAGTAGAAAATTACATTATATGAAAAATAAATGATATAGAAAGCCGTTAAAATAAGATAAACTATTATATTCATTTTTCAATTACGAGATAACATATTTTCGACTTATATCACATAATATGTTAAGAATGTGGTTATCCACATGTTTTTGCCACGTGTATAAACATAAATGATACATTAAAGAGAGCGAAATTAAATATGCGTTAGATTAAGTATATGACCTGACTAACATAAAATTTAATGATAAAAATTAGCAATGTAAATAATTTTTTTTAATATATAAGCAAACAGTAAATGTAATTGTAAATGTATAAACAAATAAAAACTGCGAAAATATTTTTTACTGTATACTTGTATAAATAAGTTTCAGCTAAGAAATAATATTATTTAAACATATTTATTTGACAAAAGGGATAGATCAATTGCGCGAATGCAAAGAGCTTTTGTTAATAAACAAAATATACGATTTTAATGGACGGAAAAGAATAATCCAACAACGTGTGTTTCTTTGACATTTCAGACATTTTTCTGTGGAGCACAACCCTCGTGAAGGTCGCCCGAAATACTCGACCGATGATACAAATGTTGCCCTGCTGAAGGCAGGAAATGGTATTTGATGAACTGGTCTTGAATTCCATGGCTTTGTCGCAAATATTAAATCATCACTTGGGCTACACCAGCGGTTTCCAAACTGGGAGGCGCGGACTCTTGCCAGGGGAGGCGCCAAAATTTTTTAATTAATTAATTTTTATACCATAATATCTTCAAATAAATAAAACGTGTCTATATTATTTAATCTATTAAAACAATAAAAGGTAAGGGAGGCGCGGAAAAAAAATATTTTTTCGGGGAGGCATAGTAGCATAAAGTTTGGAAACCGCTGGGCTACACGAAGAAATACGCTTGATGGGTTTGTAAATACGAGCAAATAAAGGTACTTGTTCGTTTTACCAAATATTTCTTGGAAAATCTTGAAAATGGAGATTCTATCACCTTTAACAAAATCGTAACAGGAAATCGTTAAAGCAAGACAACAATAATCAGCGACAAAAGTGATGATGTCGATTTACTTTAGCAGGTAAAAAGTGGTAGTGCTATCTCACTGGAGCTGATCAGACGGTAACTGCTAAGTAGTAAACAAAAACTTATTTACCATAAGTTTTCAAAAAATTGTTGAAAAACTATTATAATACATTAATCAAAAGATGGATATTTATTTAATGAGCATCGTTAGCAATATAATTCGTTATCTATATATATATTTAGAGGTTGTGTGCGATAATGTGATACATATCATAAATATACAATCTACGATCACAAAATTTGTATTTCTCTATATTATAATAGCTATACAGTGGAAACTCGCTTAATGAGCACCTCGCATAACGAGCATTTCGTTTTACAAGCAAAATGAATTGTAAGAAAAATGACTGGCTTAACGAGCAACGTTTTGCATAAGTGATGTGGAGAAGAAAAGTACAGGATTGTGCGCATGTTACATCGTAGTCCTGCTTATACTTTTTTTCCGGCATGAAACGCATTATCTTATTTTACATTAATTTATTTGGGAAAACTGTTTCACTATACGAGTAAAAATACAGAAATTTTGAAACGAATTATTTCTTATTTTTAAAGGAATTAGTTTCACCTTTCTGTTTCTCTACATTTCGTTTCCATGTATTTATATATAATAATATTATTTATGGTATTTATCCAATATTAATGTTATAGAAACATATAAGATATTTAAATATACTGGGCGGAAAGACTTAGGTCGATAGCGATTTGGTTGCATTGTAACTGATAAAAATTATTATTATTAAATATATAGCAACTATATGAAACGTTATTTTTGAAAGTGGTATACGTCCATTAGGAGCTAAAAACCGTTTATTTTCTTTAACACTTATAATAATTATTATTGCATAATAAGATTTAATAGTTTTATAGAGTAAAATTCATGACACAAATTGATTAACATTTACCAATATTTTTAAATCGATTCAAACGCAAACCCCTAAATATCTCCATATATGAAAAAATAAATACTTGGAAACAGAAAGGTGTTAAACTAATTCCATTACAAATAAAAAATTCATAATTTGATTTAACTAAAACACTATAATTAAATTTTTAAAATATTTCATTTAATAATTTCATTCAATTGGCAGAAATTTTAAGCAATTTTATAATATTTAATAATTAATAAATTGTATTTTTAAACATTGTAGCAATACAGAAATAAATAAATAATAAATGAATATAATTTTAATCAAAGTATCTCTTACGACTTTAATAATGACAATAATGATCCAAATTTGAAGATGAAAATAGTAATTTAAATCAACTTTTGAAAACTGTTTAACTTTTAGAACTTATTATTAGCTTCTTTAAGTACTTTTCAAAATAATCCTCTAAAATTGAATAATCATTATAAGAAAGTCGTGCACGGAAAAATGAATTAGGTAAAAATTTCGATTTTTTGTTCAATTATTTATATTAGTTTTTATTTCTAGTGATCTTCAAATTATATCGCATATATTCCTCATGTGTGAAAAGGTTGAAGAACGCTATACTAGACAGTGCAAATAATCTCTGAGATTGACAATTACGATTTGTAGTAAAGCTTATCGCGTTTTATTGTGGCTATGTTATTATTATCACAATAATAGAGCTTAAGTATAGAAATCTTATCTGAGAGACAATTTACTCAGAACTCGTTTTTTATTATTATTATCCAAACTAATTGACGGATATTTAATTATTAACTAAATGGAGGCAATAAAATGTAATTCTGACGCGATGATGATTAAGCAGTTTTATCTATGATTTTTATATGTATATTAATATTAACACTATCATTTACTTGAAATGGATTACAATTTTAAGTGATGGTCATAATATAATATTTCGCAATATCTTTAAAATTAAAATGTAATGTCGCAATTCCGTCGTTCAAAATTACCACGATTACACTGTCGTCAATACAATCAGTAATTGTTGCTTCGTTTTTAATTGAAGGTTATTGTGATTAGACATAAATTTTCTTATATGACTATATTAATATTAACACGTGGCACATTTTCAATTTATTTTTTTCTTCTTCTGTGGTTCGAATTTATTAATGTATTAATTTATAAATGTTCTAAATTCATATATTGAAATTCTTAGTTTTTACTTATTTTTGTATGTAAACATCTTTTTTACTATTCAGTTTTTGTATATACAATGCTAACAATCCCAACAAATTATTGTAATATGTCTTTGATATGAAATAATGATAAAACAATAACATTTATTGCAACAAATCACCATACTACAAAGTCAACAAAACAACATAATAAGAAATTATAAGGGGCAATGTTCTACCGACCAAACGAAATAATAATCATTTATTAATCTTAAACTTAAAAGAAAAACAAATATATTGAACATCAGAATATTTATTAATTCAAACATCAATTAATTATTTTAGGTCTATCATGTTTCTTAAATTATTGGGTAATTTATTGTGGAATAAATCAATATGCAATGAATTAAATTTTAAAAAAATAGTAAACTTATTTGGATAAATATTTGATTCTTCTATATTTAAAGAATGTACAGAGGAATCTTAGTAATTTTTATGTTTGTTTTTAATGAGTAAAATAAATATCGTCAATTTAACCACTTAACGTACGTGCCTGTGTCAGAAACGAGCGCGTCTTACAGAACATTTTTTACGCGTTTGGGACACGAGCGACCATTATATTTATTCACTAAATTTTACATGCTATGTTAGTTCAAGACGCCGGTGAGTTCTAATATTTGCATATAGCGACTTGATATTTTATCATATTATCAATTATTTTTTGATAAATCACTGCATATTACACAGGCATTCGTCAAAGTTTGGTATAAGGGTTAATTGAATTAGATAAAAAATTGTTACCGCACACGTTTTGTAACATAATTAAATCATTTATATACCAAATTAGGTTCGAAAATGAGGTAAAGCAGTTATTTTCTATCAAATCAGGTGTTCCGCAGGGAAGTATACTGATACCTCGTATTTACACAATTTATATATATGATTTACCAACAACTGCAAAAACTAAAATTGCTAATTATGCTGATGATACATTCACCCTAAAGAAAGGAAAATATCCTCCAGTTACTATAAATAATAATTTTAGATCACAGACTTACATGTAAAAAACATATAACAACCTAACGGAAACAACTAGGAATCAAATTTCCTAAATTATACTGGTTGATTGGGAGAAGATTGCAGCTATCGCTGGAAAATAAAATTATAATATATAAGGCAGTGTTAAAACCGCTGTGGACCTATGGTCTTCCTTATAGATTTTAAAATTAGAAGAATGTTTTTAGATATTTGTTTTTATTGTTAAAATTAATATTTATTTATATTATATTTTGTTATGGAAGGTTTCCAATGGGAAACTATTCCGCTCATTGTTATATTTACTAGTTGCCAGCATGAGGCAGATTGTAAATAATAAATTGATTAAAAAAAAGATGTTTCTTTACAGTTGTTACGCCACTGAAAATATTTTTTCCAATGTAATTAGGTTCAGTTTTTGACCAATAATTCAAAATACAAGTGTACATTAAGTGGTTAAATCAGTATTGCCATTATTACATAAATACTTATTATTATGCAATTATAATATGGGTCTATATCGCAAGCCCGACAACCGAAAGACCGTCTATTGAAATCCCGACGTTCGAATTCCCGACTATATCAAAATCTCGACAACCACAATCCCGACTGTATCAGAATCTCCACAACCATAATCCCGACTATATCGAAAAATTTATCAATAACATTTTTAAATTATTTCGGAGCATAATCACCTTGTGCTACACTTTAATTATTAATAACAATAAATTATTATTAATTTATTTAATTTTGTTGAATTATTCATAATAAACCTTAACATTATGAAATAATCTCAAATACATTTAGATTATTAATTGTTATTGTTTATTATTAATAACAATATAAAAGTCACTACGCTCCGGAATAATTTAAAAATGTTATTGTAGACATTTTCGATATAGTTGGGATTTTGATACAGTCGGGATTATGGTTGTCGGGATTTCGAACGTCGGGAATATCATTGACGGTATTTTGGCTGTCGGGCTTGCTATTGCCACCGTTATAATATAAATATCTTTTTTTTTTATTGAAATGTTTCTAAATTCATTTTATATTTGAATAAATTATATTGGGTTGGTGCATACTATTTTGTTGAGATTAATATTTATAAATATTTTCAAAGTTGACACACATATTTCAATTGTTAATGTATCCGCCAAAATGTCGTCAATACTTGTACGTCAAACTGTTATTTTTAAAGTGTATGTAGATTGACTATACTTGTAAATACAAGTAGATGGGCAGATGCTTTTTCCATTCTAAAAATCAATAAGCGATTTATTAAAGAAGCGCCACTTGTGAATTGAATACTCGACACGTGTGCTTTGACGTAGTAATCGTTGCTCTCAATCCCATGTATTTTATATTGAAGTATTGTGTTGTGACATCATTTTCTATCCTTTCTATTTTTCAACATATAATTATTAATAATTAATCCAACAACAAAACCGGTTTTTAACCTAGACTTAAAATATAAAAATATATAATATATGATGTATATTGTATTAAAAAAAATTGTTCTTGGATGAATGATGGCTTATAGGATTTGTATATCTTTAATTATTAATTAAAAATGACTCATCCCAAAAATAAGTTTTAAATGAATCCACATGTGGTAGTTTTAGAAATATTTAGGATTTGTTTTATACGATATATTTTTCGCTACTTATAACCTATTTTGAGCAAGATGTTAAAGAAAGGTAAATGCTGTATTAGAAATAAATGAATGAAAATATATATCTTAAAAATCTTCATGGATTTGTTCTAACTTGATCATTTTATGAGATATCGGTTATTAAATTAAAACAAACATAATGACGCGACGCGTTTGAAATTCAAAATGAGTTTGAAAGAAAAACTCTTTCAGTAATCAAAAATATTTGATTATCATATATTTTTTTATTAATTTGTAATGCGCATAGATGTACGCATATGTACGAGTTCTTGCAGCTAATTGAATACAAAAATAAATATACTGATAAAGTCTTTCTTTTTATTGAAAACAAATATTTCGCCAAATATAAAATAGATAATAAATATTCAGTGTAAATGTAAAGAGATATTCTATCAAATCTGAGCCTACCTAGTATTAGGTTTACAATCTACTCTCGAAAATTTGAAATTTTTCAATCGATATACATATATGAAATGTATAGTTCCACAATAGATTATTTAGTGTTTTAATTACAAGCGATCTTACTTATTTCAAGTAACAAACTTACATTTCCATAATTTATTTAAATAAAATGGAAAGGAAATGTACTTGTTGATAACGAAACAAAAATAAAAAGGTTACTCGAAGCTAAATGCGCGGCGATGGGGCAACGTGTTGATTTTTATTTTACTTTACATTCGTTCGTACAAATACAAATAGCCCAATTCCTTTGGTGGATTCTCCGACAAGGCGACCTTATTGTCGTTGAAGATTACCCATCTGCCTTCCTTTAAGATATGTACAACGTAATGACCGACCATACTCGATGTTCCCATGTGCGAGATGAATGCGACCAGTTTATAATCTGAAAAATAATATGAATTACATAAATCTGAGTATATTAACAATAGCTAAGGACTTACTGCTGTCACCGTCTTTAAACTCTGGTGCTGGTGCAGGGTTATCCAGCTCATCCTGATGTGAAAAGATCCAGTCGACGGCCCTTTCAATATCATTGTTGGTGTTCTTGAGTGCTTTAACAGCCTGCGAATGCGTGAAACCCATACCCATGATCATGGGTAATGCCTCCATGTTCGGTACGAAATCGTCAGAGTGTTTTTCAAGACCAGGTGGCATAAACGGATCAGCGAAGTCCGAGTCAGAGATGTGGTCCATGATCCATGCCATGGCAAATTCCAAGCTCGAGTTCTGTGTGAAGTAGAGTGCACGTTTGCACGCGTTCTGTGGAAAACCCATATTCATCAATTCAGAAATTATATTCTGATCATAGACCGGCTCCGGCACGGGCGAATTTTCACCCAGGTCTGGCAATTTCTCTTCGCCAGGTTGAGGACCGGTCGCCCTTAGAGGATTCAGATCTAAGATATCGGGCATTTCGACGGCAACGTCTAATTTAATTGGAACCCAATCCTCGCGCATCGTGAACTTTTTCAATTGAATAAGTAAGTAATCTGGGAAAGTCGCCAATCGTGTCGTCCTAAAAATCAACGGTTAAATAATGCAAAGTTGGATTGGTTCAAATACAATTACTTTCTGGCTGTTGTCTTCTCGTTGATGGCCGTGCTGAAGAACTGATTGATTGTTTCAGTTTGCGTGAACAGCTCCAAGCAAGAGAACAGCTTAATCCTTGGTCGCACCAAAGCGTTCGGATCTAAACGTTTTCCTTGAGCTTCGGCCTCGGCTTTCTTTGCTTCATATGCGGTAACCTCTTCCCTATTGACAGCAGCCTCCATCGGTATGTTCAGAGCCAGAAGGGTATCAGCTCTATGGGTGTATTTTACCTTATCACTGCTAGTACATTGGTATCTCTCCTCTATTTTAAACTTGAAGCTATCACTTGGATTACTTGAGTTCCTGGTATTCCTTTCCAATAAATTCAAAATGTGGAGGAAGAACTCCTGAGCATCTTGCTGCTTTTTCGTGGAGAAATCGGCGTGTCCTTTGCCAATCAACGATTTGAACATAGCAGGAGATATACCAGGTGGATCTGCGTCGACTGGTGAACCAGCAGGAGGTGGTACTGAATACCTACCAGACAACAAACCAGCGCCTAATTTTGCCCTGCAATTATTGGAATACTTAATATAAAATGATACTTATCTTTTTAGCAACATTAAAATCATCACTTACATTTGAGCGTTGAAATCTTCAGCTGGATCCCCGCTACAACTCTCGAAAATTTGCTGAGCATTATTAACATATTTTGCAACAAAGTTGGGAATAGTGAACATCATCTGCATGACACTGTTCAAATAACAGGAGTTACCCAAGTTAACCATCCCTGTATATCCGGGTCCAAATAGTGGAGTCAGTTTGCCTTCACTTTCCTGCATTGCAGCCCATTCGTTCGTTTTTTGATTCAGCTCCAATTCCAGTTCAATCATCGATTTCTCAGTCTTTTCCATATTCGCCAAGTTGATGCCCCAATGCGCCAAATGATCGTTCAGCTTGGGGTCTTCGACCAAATCATCCTCGCTGTAACTGAATATATCCGCTTTGCCATCCTTAGTGATGGTGCCCAATTTGACGGCAAGCGGATGTCCGGTCTGGTCGTAATGCTCGACGGCGTGATTATTACCGCCAGTACCATCGTAGAACTTCCTTCCACAAAGAATGCTACCATCAGTTAAATTCAACCAAAGGTTCTCAGTCTTATCGCATTTCTCGCAAACCCAACCACTGGGTGGAATCTTCTTTCCAGTGTTCAATTGCTCCAAGTTCTCAGCATGCTTACTGATAATCCTTGCTTCACCATCCCAAGTACCTGCCAGTGCTTCAAGCTCAGCTTTCTTAAATGCAGACTGCATTTCCAAAATTGTTTGGACACTTTGCAATACCTGCAATATAATTTAATGAATGAATACTTCTATTAGTGTAAATAATATAGAAGTCTCACAATTTCTGGAAAGTTTGGGTTTGGCCATGGGATCATAACAAAATTAGGCATCACACATATTTGATATTTATCCTCAAATTCGAATTTCTTTCTACCAGATTCAGGATCAAAGCCACCTTCAACACCAATTGCCAGTCGAGTGATTTTCTTCTCTGGTCCATCCCCCTGTGATGGTGAGGATACCTGATAATATTAACTATATAACATTCACTTGTAACCGTCTCTCAATATTTTACCTCATGCCTTTCCCTTCGCATATGTAAGAACACAGCATTTCCAGTTTTGTGGAAGTACTTCTCTACATAATCCTTGCCCAAGCCAACAAATGTAGTTAGACTCACAAACAAACCAGTCTCGCTTTCCTATAATAAAGATGATAAATAATATACCGTTCAAATGTATAACCTCAAAATTGATCAATATCTAAATCTTACAGGATTATCAAAGGAATAGACACATTCATCTTTGTACACCTTGTCAATCGTGCTTGGCACTTTGACTTTGGTCAAATGGCCCTGCAACAGATCCATACTATCGATAATTTGCAGACACAAAAGTTATTCTAAAAAATCAAAAAAACTGCTCTCAAAACACAAATAAAAATTACGAATCATCCGGCAACTGTAGGCAACTGTCAACAGCTGTTGGACAGCCGGGTCGATAGGTTTCTTGCGTTTGGCGCCAAGTTTAAAACTTTCAAACTTTATGGATACTATATAATATTAATTATATCGATTGATACAAAAAGAGAATATTATAAAATATTTCGACAACTTAAATATTTACATAATATTAAATTGAATCAAGTGCAAACTATTTTTTAAGAACTTAATGTATTTTTTACAGAAATTTCGAATATAAAATTAAAATAACTAAAAATTAATATATATTTAATGTCAAAATATTACAATAAAAATAATGAATATGATATTTTCTGTTTTGTTTAAAAACGGTCAAGACCTCTTGCGTTTATTTGTAATATTCATATTTTAATTTGTTTTTTTTAACGCTAAAATACTAATTGTATAATACAATTATTTTTATTGCATCTACAAGGTTTTGGCACTGCGATTATTAATTGTTATATAATATATTATTATCATTATTTCTAGAATAGTTCAATTTATTTTATTATTAGAAACAGAAATATATACATGTATACTATACTTTGAAATATACTAGAATGTTATAACAGCAGTAGGGAATTTAATCAAACATTAATTCACTTTATAATAACTTTATTGATTAATGCAGTGTGTTTCTTACTAAAACTATGTACATTACAATTATGACGTTTCTAAATTCTTATTCTTTTAACTAAGTTAACTATTATTATTTTTATGGGCTGAAAGTTGTGATTGGGAGTAGGGTTTCATTTATAATTTGGGAATTAAGCGTTCCCATTGGAAGTCAAACTTCGATAGGTTTATCTTACATTTAAAGACTTCATGGAGGTCTATACTTTGTTGAATGTTAATAGGATTACAGTGGAACCCCGCTTAACGAGCATTGCGTTTAACAATTGCGCTGCAAAATAAATTGTAAAAATTGACTTGCTTAACGAGCGACGTTTTGTTTAACGAGTGACGAGGACAACTACATCATTTTAAAAACTTGTGTTCACATATTATTTATGATTTTTTTAGTAACACTTGCATGATTCCGAATAAAAAGCGAAAGATTAAAAATAACCATAGATATGAAGAGCAAAATCATTAAAAAGTAACACCAAGTTATACTTTTTTTTATCCTACATTTTACATTAGTTTATATATATTTTTTTATTATGTCTTTGTATATTTATTTTACAATCTATTCTTGCAAACATTAATTAAATCTAACGGCGGTAGACATTTGTTTTTTGGTAAACTTCCCAATGGAAGTTTTTACCATTATATTGCTATTGCTGTAAGCACCGAGGGAGCTCGAAAAGGGCCGGGCATGGCCACGATTTGAACTGGCGTCCACGGGACCATATTTTACTATATGAGAAATTCATAATACGAGTAAAAATTCTGGAAGTCTATATATTCGAAAGTATATCAATTCGGAGTCTTCTTGAAAATGTCTTTGTAGTTTATTAAGGTTGAACACAGCACTTTTATATTGAGTTAATATCTAATAATAATGAAATATATTTTTCTTTGAAATACGAATATTTGTCAATATTATTGACTATTGATACTTTCCACTATCTCTTTTTCTAATTATTTAATCAACAGCTCTTCAATCTACGCTTTGCCAAATTTTGGCTCAATCGTCGTATTTATTAATCATCTAATTTATAAAAATTTAATTTAAGAAATAAATCAACCAAAAATTGAGTTGCATTAAATTTTTAATGCGTCTCTAAATGACAGCAGTCACCTTATTTTAAAGTGAGAAATGGCATAATATTTTTATCAATTGAATTATTATGAAAGGTTGAAAAACATATGTATCAATTATTATAAATTAATTATTAGAAAAACTTATAGTACTTATTGTTAAAAATTTTGTTTTGTAATATGTATTTCATTAACATGTGTAAAAAAATAATTAATAAATAATTACGTTCATTATTTTGTTTTTACTTTAAATTATAATATTCTATTACATGTTTATACATGTAAACAACAGGTAACATTATAATTTAATAGCAATACTTAATTTTATATCTTCAGTAATTATATGTGCAATATGAATGATATGCACTTTTTTGTACCATTTTAAATCAGATCTATGGTATTGAAATGGTATCTTGGTAATTTCTGTTTGTTTAATGATGATGACTAATTGAGATTTTTGCCCACGATAAACCTAAATTGTTGTTCGCATGCCGTACGAATAACATCCGGAAATTAGACTAGATCTATATGCGGTATATGCGTGATTGTATCATTCGGAATTCGAGCGCGGAACTATCCAAACCTCGATGAACAGAGAAACGCTAAATTGTTGTAAAAAGACGTAACATTTTTTAATTAGTTTGTAATAATGAGCACAGTAGCAGCTGCAGCTACAGCCATGAGTGTTCTTGTAGCTTCCACGTTCCTCCTTGTCGTTATGAGTGAGTTTAATTTCTATTAGTTGCAATTTATTTAAGTAACGGTTCGAGCACAATTTTATTATTATTAAAACATAATGAAATACTAAATATTATTATTTTATGATTGGAATGTTATTTTTAGTGGCAAAGGGTCAAGATGCGCAGAGACTTGCAGCATCTGCAGCTATAACTAACAAAAACAATATTTCTCAGCTGCTGGAACCAAATGGGCCCCCCGTCCAATTCATTGTGTTTGTTAAGTAAGTGTAAAAATATATATATTTTTATTGTTTAATATCAAATATTTTATGACCTAAAAATTGAGGCGGAAGCGGAAATTTATGGGGAAAATGAAAGTTTATATTTGTTCATTGTCGTTGGTGTTATATGATATCTTCATTAGTATTATTGAATAACTTTCACAGCGGTCAAAAGCCATACAACTTGAAAATTGGAGATTTTCGAGGATTCGAAGATTCCGGATTCAATACTAGTCTACCCACGAAGATCATTACCCATGGCTTCATGAGTAGCATCAGAGAAGAAATCTTTGTAATGATGAAAAACGGTAATAGAAATGAATCCCATTAAATACTGTTGGTTTATTTAATTCATAATGTTTTTAGCTTATTTGTCGACTGGAGATTACAATGTGGTAGGCATGGATTGGTCGGTTTTATGTGAATTCGAATATTTCTCCGCTATGAAAGGAGCGCAATTAGCAGGGGAAGCTTTGAATAACTTTATTAATTTTATAGCAAGAGCTGGAGTGAATCTGGAAGACGTTCATGTAATAGGTCATAGTTTAGGAGCTCACGTTGCTGGTATTGCTGGAGATGGAATAAAAAATGGGAAACTAGGAAGAATAACTGGTATGGAAGAGCTTTATCGGTCGAGTAAAAGTATTCATAAAAAATGTAATCTTTTAGGTCTTGATCCCGCTGGACCTGGTTACAATGATGTACCTCCAAACTTGAGATTGGATCCTGGAGATGCTAAACTTGTAGATGTAATTCACACTTACATGCGGATCTTAAGTTTGGCACAACCTTTAGGACATGTGGATTTTTATCCGAATGGAGGAAGATTTCAACCGGGATGTCCGGAGTTATACGACATTTGTAAAATTCATTACTTGAGTGGGCTATTCAGAAGTATATGAGTATGTTAAACATTTCAGGGAAAGTAACAGAGAGCATTGCTTGTAACCATGGAAGGGCTTATATGTACTTCATTGAATCAATTCTCAATGAGAAGGCCTTCAAATCTCAAAAGTGCGCAAACGTCGATGAGGCAATCTATAGCCGTTGTTTCGAGGAGTCCGATGTTTACATGGGCCAAGCCGATACCTATAAGTAACTTACATAATTTTAAAGAAAAATAATCTGTAATGACACATTATATGTTATTTCAGATATGGTTTATACTACGTAAAAACTAACACTAAATATCCATTTTCATTAACTTAAAGACCAGAGAATTCACCGTGTGGTTGATTTAATGTGTTAGTACATGTTGATGAATTTATTTTTTAAACCCTAGCATGTTTATTTCAATACTTGTTTTCTTTATATCTGATGGTGCTTGGCTTAGTTGTCTCCATAGTTAAATAATTTGGAAATCAATAAAAATATAAACTAGTCAAAATTAAGGGATTATAATTTTTAATATAGAAATAAAACTTCAAATCTACTTTATACCTAATATTATATTTAATATAATCAATTATAATATATACTGTAAAGCATAACTCTTTGAGGGGTCAGAAATTCCTAAATTTCTAGACAACTGAATCAGACAGCTACTTCGACTGAATTTACATAGGATGGTATGATCTATCAAGATTCATCCTTTGAAATACCAAATCCAAAATTATGTTTAAATGTGTCTCTGGGAGGAAAAACTTAGGTTGATAGCCCTTTGGTAACATTTGTGGTTAATAAATATATTACTATATTGCCCTCATCCCAAATATTTGCTTTATTTGAGTATTAACGCTTCATGGCTCATTGAGCTCCGATGAATATGTAGTTAAACCATGGTTATCTGATTTATAATTTTGTAAAAGGTTTTTGGTTTCTAAAATATGTATTTGTAAATTAATTTATACATCAGAGTTAAAATAAGCAATTTTATTAGTTACTCACATATAAGTATATTTGCCATTTTATTTTTCTAATTTATTTATCATAGAAGTATATAGTATCTAAAAATGTGTTTATTTTATATAATTTATAAGAATATATTTATAAACTATACTATTTATTTAATCGATTTGTTAAACTATATTTTCGTTATATTTAGCGAGAGTTTATATCTATTTCCTTTTAGCATTGGCTTGTTTAGCTTTCATCTCTTCCTCCATCTCAATAAGAGATTCGATGGCCTTAGTTCTCCTCTTGCACATTGGCGTTTTCATCCACCAATTTGCCATAGCTTCATCTTCCTCTTTGTAGACGGGTACCCTCTTGGCCAAAGCATTTATTATTTCTAAAGGGTTCAATGGTTTGACTCTTAATTGAAGTTTCCTTTTTACTGTTAAAACTTCATTAAGAGCTGACATTATAACTCCTGAAATATATATATATCATATAATTGATATTTATTATAGTATTCAATTAAACTTGCCAATGGTGTAACCATCCGAAATTCTCGAGACGCCGCTAAAATTGAAGTGCCAACTAATTCCATCTAAATCCTGCAGCATTTGATTCCAGAACGCGAACCTTGAGCTGTATTCCGGCCTAGGGATGAAAATAAATTTCTGGTATACTTGTTGCAGCAGTTTCTGATCCGCATTCCATGGACAGTTTGTGACTCCAATAAATATAATTCTATCCTCAATATCAAAATCTGAAAAATATTATATTGAGTGAAGCAAAGTAATAACTTCATGATTTGCTTACTTTTTATGATTTTTGGTAAATCCTTTTTCAACCTTTTGGGATCCGACTTATCAGATTTTGGAACCTTCTTCATGAATGGCTTCTCTGCATTGTCCATAAATATGATGGATGGTTGCATTAACCTTGCCACTTTCATAACTAAATGTAAAAGCATTATGAGACCCGACTTTCCAGGGTATTTTCCGACAATGTTAGCTGGCGTCAAATCGAAAAGAGTTGCACCTATTTCATTGCAAATCGCATGAACAAGAAAATCTTTACCGCTGCCTTCTGATCCTGCTAGCAGTAATGATTTTATATGAGGCGTGGTGTCATGCAGTTGAGGGTGCAGCATGGGTATGATGCAAAATTCAGCGAGGATTTGTCGTATATCTCCTAAGAATACCTTTGGGTCTTTCCCGGTGTTGTGAGGAACTGCTGTATGATAGGACCTTTCTCCAATGAAGTCTTTAAGGAACACTTCAGGATACCTATATTTGTCGAATTATTATACAAGAAAAATATAGTTATAGTATAGTTTACAGACCTTTTGATAATTCCATTGGCGATTAATTCTTCGAATAAAGATTCCGTAGTTCTGTCAGGAGTTAAATCTTTTTCCTTCTTCTTCTTGCTTTTCTTACTGCTGCGTTTAGATTTTTTACTCGATTTTCTGATCTTTTTATGTCCTCGATCGCGATCCAACGCTTCTTGAAGCAACTGTAACTCAACCCTCATCATTTCGTCCACGACTTTCCGTAAATCGTTCTCCATATTCTCCATCTGCTCGTTTTCGATTATGTCCAAATAGTGATATTGATTGGGATTCTGACTTTCATCCTTATTTTTCCAATTTTCTTCATATTCTTCCTTGCAAAAATTTAGCTCTGGCAGAAACATAGAGATTGAAGTTTTCGGAGCGGTCTCCTCTTCTATCTCTTCCTTGATATCTTTAGATTTTTTGCTTTTTTTCGATTCCTTTGAAGAGATTTGAGTTGATTTACTCAGTTCGCTATCTGTTCCAGTTCCTAATAACGGAAAAAATAATAAAAATAAATATTAACGGAAATATTGTTTTCAATTACCTTGTCTGCTAATTAACATCCTTGACGTGGATCTCTCTGACACGGTGTAGTCGGGGATTTTGCCTGTTTGTTCTCTGTATTCGTAAAGCCATGACCTGACTTGATCACTGAGCTGTTCCAGTACCAAAGCTCTTTGGTGCTTCTCCAACTTATTTTTGCACTTCACCACGACGGCTTCGTAGTGTTTCTTTCGGATTTCTTGTAGTTTTCTTCTGGCGTCCATGTTTTGCAATGATTTCATTAACTCTTCATTGTTTTTCTTCTTATTGGGGATCATACCGATTAAGAGCATCTCTTGTATTTTCTTTTTTCTGGTTGCTCTTCTTGCCTGGTAACCTCGCCATACTTTCTGGATACACAAAGCTGCTGGTAGACTAATCTTTGCTTCGCTCTCCTCGTCGTCTTCACCCTGCTGCGGTTTGTTTCTTTCTTTCAAATTTTTTATTTCTTTCATGAACTGCGCCCGCAGCCGGCCTTGTCTTGCTCGTTCATGCGTTTGTAGAAGCAAAATAGCTTGCTGTTCGGATAAAGGGGTTTTCACTTCTATCTTGTGCAGCAGACCAAGCTTTTCCAGGACACTGTCGATTATGCCCTTGCGGTAGTCGAGCTCCTCTTTGCGTTCCAAACGGAAGTAATTTGGTATGATTAGATCGACATCGCGCGGCGTCAGTTTCAAAGAATCTAGTACATCGCCGCAATGAGTATATTCGTTCAAATCTGCTTCGACGAGGTCTGACTTTAATTCGCAGATGCGACCAAGTGTGGCAGTTAGCAGCTTTGAAATGAGGATCCTTTTCTGCGGTTGCACAATTTGGTCCACGCATTCAGTGAATCCGTTTGCTGCAGTTATGTAGCGTAAGTAAAGGGTCGCCAATTGCTTCCTTTGCTGCCGGACGTCCGCTTGTTGCGGTTCGCTTTCCACAATCGACGTTAAGAGCTCATGTGTGGCTCGCCATAATAAGTCGTAACTTTTGTGAGACATTCCGAACGTACACTGAAATTGGGTTCCGAAGACCCAACAGCCCTAACGAGTTTGTGTGTATATAGCTCATATTGATTTTGAGGCCCATTGGCATAGTAACCAAACTTTAGACCCTCATATCATTTAATTCTTTTTATTTTGAATATCGATCATTATATTCATATAAAACAAAATATTTCATAGTAGTACCAGGAAATATAAAGTTAGTTAATTAGCCAGCACTACAGATGTTGAAGAGATGCTGAAGTATATCAAACAAAACTAACTGTTTATTATATTCATATATAAAAGAATATAACTAGGGTTATGGGTTACTATAATTTAATAATACGATAATTATACTTGATAATATATCCTTGTAAAAAGATATAATATGATTTTATTTAGTGCAGTTACAGTAATAATTCAAAAGCTTTTAATTATTATTTTATATTCTTAAAACATATCTTCACGTTAAGAATGTAGTTAAAGTCAAATTGTATGTATGTAAAATAAAATTACAAATAATATTTTTTATAGATGACAAATTCAATCATTTAAAAATATCTCTGTCAAAATGTTATTCAAATTGTGAACACCTATTCTTTAGACGGTTTTTAAGCTTTTGTATTCTTTCCTGTGGTAAGTTCTTGCGCTTCAATTTCTCCCTGGTGATGGTGCATAACAACTTCAATCGTTTCTTTATGATTGGGTCCTCGTCAATATCAATATAAATATAATCCTCAGTTGTGGGTGGGGAATATGTGGTAAATGCAATATTTGAATTACCCACGTTGTTGTTGGGATATATAGAAGGGTTTGAAACTGAGGATTCCATGTAATTAGTAGGCTCAGGCACTGTTGGATTTGGAATATACGCTGAAGCAGCACCGACAGCACTGTTAACATCACTTGAAGGAATATACGAAACCACGCTTGGACCAGAATATGGTATACTTTCTGGCATCAGAACATTCACCTACAAATCATATATTATCATACAAAAAATCTTATTTAATAACAAGTAAAAACTTACCGCACCTTCACAGAAGTGGATTAAAACCACCACAATTAGCACGGACAAACGCATCATGATTTCTGTATGAATATCTGCGCTTCACAGTCATTTTATACTTTTCATTTGGAAATTAAAATAGAGTTTAAATTGCAGGCAATTTCCGGATTGTATTTAGTTCATAAACATGTTGATGTTTTGCATTTCAATTCAGGCTTTGTAGAGCAATTTATTTAATTTAAAAGCATATAAAAGTATATTAGTTCAATTGAAATTTTGGTTAATTGCCCGTGATAATGCATTTCAACGGGATAACATTAAATAAAATTACTTTAAAAATTCGTTTAAAAATATAATTATTCGTTACTAAACAATTTCTCTTAATAAATAATAGATTCAATTTTATTTAAGTATATTAAAAAAATGCAATGGTAATTGAAACAAATTAAAAAAATACACATATCATCATTAAATCCTATCTCATTATTATTAGAAGTCTCAGTTATTGGTAGCATTGATAAAATATTCATATTTATACAGGTTGCTATGTTCTACAACTCTATTTTCTACATAACTCGGCTGTTTTTGTTTTTAGAAAAAAGTAAATTGTTTGTAAAATTAAAAATATATTTTGTATATGAAATAATTTTTGATCATTTGTAATTCTGTTTTTATTCTTATTGGATTATTATTCTATATTAAAAAAAATCTATGTAAATTTGGTTACCTACATCATACATGGGGTACAATTAAACCGGTGGCAATCGCAAGCCCCACAACCGAAATTCCGTCTATCGAAATCCCGACGTTCGAAATCTCGAGTGTATTGAAATCCCGACGTTCGAAATCCCGAGTGTATCGAAATCCCGACTATATCGAAATCCCGACTATATCGAAATCCCGACGTTCGAAATCCCGACTATATCGAAATCCCGACTATATCGAAATCCCGATGTTCGAAATCCCGACTATATCAAAATCCCGACATTGTCTTTTATTATTATAATTTCTACAATAACAGTTTTAAATTATTCTACTATATTTTAATAGGTACGACGACTTTTGAGAAGCTGCTGCTGCAGCTGACCACTAATTCGGTTTTCGTGGTACTGTGAAGCAAGTACATCATGTAGTGACGAGATCAGTAGAAGTCTTGAGGAGAAGAGGTACTCTTCAGTAACATTCCATGACAAACTATACAAAATTAAGAAATGTTTTCCCTGCGTATACTATACCATCTTTAAAATATATTTAACGGGGAGACACTTTCAGGTCAAACACAATGACAAAATAACAACTCTACCAATTATCTCAGGAGTCCCTCAGGGAAGCGTTTCAGGATCCTTGTTATACCTCCTTTTCACGGCGGTTCTGTCTACATCTCAACAAGTCACTGTCGCTGATACTGCAGTCCTAGCATCGCACACTGACCCAACAACTGCTTCACAAATGCTCCAAGCCAGACTTATAAACACCGATGACTAGCTAAAAAATGGAGAATTATAGCCAACGAAACTAAGTCGGTGCATGTAATGCTTACTATGCGTCAACAGACCTGTCCTCCATACCATTTAAATGGTTGCACTCTGCCTCAGGCAGATGAGGCCAAGTATCTAGATCGTCGTCTTATCTGGAAAACGTGCATAGCAACTAAGAGAAAATATCTTAATTTGAGGGCCAGAAAGCTGGACTGGTTATTAAGTAGATACGCATTCATCTCCATAGAAAACAAAGTTTTTCAATAAAGCTATTTTAAAACCGATATGGACCTATGGAATTTAGTTTTGGGGATCTGCATGTAATAGCAGCATTGACATTATACAGAGATTCCAGTCTAAAACGCTGAGAAAATATATCAATGCTCCATGGTTCTACACAAATGTTGACATCCACAAGCAAGCTAACATCAGTTAGAAAGTTATAGCTAAGGCTAGCACAAGATACCACAGCCGGCTAGAGAACCACCCAAACCAACTGGCTACGGAGCTAATGCATACAGTAAATCATCGCCGTAGATTAAAAAGATTCAAACCGCAAGACTTACCCAACAGATTTAGAGACAACTAATTGAATCATTGTTTATGTGTGAATAGTGGTGAAAGGGACTTGTAAGTCTTTCATATTTGTATTCTCTTTTCAATTCAAATAATTGCCACACTATTAAGTTTTTCTGGTTCATGTTTAGTCACAGGTTACTTGCAATTATTTTTAAAAAGGTTATTCAAAAATCTAATTCAAAATTGATTGTGATTAATTTTTAAAAATTAGCAGTTATTTTTGATGAAAAGTTTGTCTGAAGGAAGCGAGTTCAATTCACTACAAATTTTTGTCTCCATTATTAATATACATTTACCACAGTCGACCTTGCTTGCAGTTTAACAAATAATAGTTAGGTTGGAAATAAAAACAATGATTATACCATATATATATATTTATTGGTTTAGATTTTCACACATTGATTTATTATTTATTATTTCTTTAATTAATAATTATATCTAGCTTCAAGATATAATGTCCTGTTCCAAATTCAAGACATCAGCGTTTTTTTTTAATTTATCTTCTTCGGTTGACAACAAGAAAGTTAAGTTAATTCAGCGACCATATAGTATACATATATAATTAATCATCAGTTACGAAGGTATTCACACAATTATTATTACATATATTTACTTTGTTTGCAATGAACACAATGCTGAAAGCTCAAGATTTCGAGAAAGATATTATCTTAGATGGATTTATTTTATTTACTATGACTCATTCTTGCCGTGTTTCCTTAAATATAAATACGCCTTTCCTCCGCATTTATTGGTATTCTGTTACATGTACATAGCACCTAATTGATCATAAATTACAATAACAATTATCATGGTGTTTCAAGTTGTTGGTTATTTAAAATAGTTACGAAAATTATATATAGTCAATACAAATTGGAAACGAGAGAATTTGGAAGAACTATCTGTAGAGTTAATATAATCTCACAGACATATTATTGCACTCAGTTTTTTTTGTTCATTTTTGTATTTATATACACATTTTGATATTTCATTTCTAGATGATATTCTTTTTGGCACGTTTAGCTACACCAATCGATTTAATGTTGAAAGTAGTTTCCACTTTAGAAATTCTAGATTTTAATAAGTTGCAATAAAAATGGATTCTCATTTTATTTATAAAAGAGACTATTAATTAGTAAAGGTCGGAACTATAAGAATGAACGAAATATAAAAGAAAATATTTTTAAACGCGTTGTGTTTCAATTTAATATAAAATATTGATGAGGAAGAATAAAGGGGAATACTAGGAAACCTTACATGATGTATACACATAGCAATAACCTGTTAACGTGATTTAGAGTCCTTATGAAAAAGTAATCGGATGATGTGCATCGGTGGATCCTGTTCGTGCATTTTACAACTTCATGTTTCAGCATACAAAGATAATCTTGTTGGCAAACAATTTATTTTTATATTAGACTTCATATTATGGTTGATTTATTACAATTATAAGATTGATATACTTATAATAGTAAAATGTATAATTTTAACGTTAAATACAATGAAAAAACACAGTAGATTTATGGATTTTGGAATTTAAAAAATTGGTCACGGAATTCACTCAATATTCTGCATAAATTTGCATAATAGATATTCGGTTTGTAATGAAAATTTTGAATTCATTTTGGTGTAGCGGCGATTCATTAAAATTCATGTGAGATTATATGCATGATATCTGTATATACGCAGACAGGGAGAGCGGTCGCGGAGCGTGGAAAACTGGAAGTTAAATTCAATTGAAAACCGAATTGCTAATGTTGAATCTACGTATCTACGAGAAGTAAAAAAAAACAATGTAGATTTTAAAATCAATTACAGTTATACCGTCACATGTGGTACGTAGTCTGCCACGCTGAGCACCTGAAAGAAGTTTAAGAAAATAGATATATTTGTTTTGTCGGTAAATTATCATGCTGCTTAAGATATGATACATGAATTTCTTTTGCCGTGACGGTCACGGATCTGCTGCAAGTGCTGCAGCTGCACCGCTGAAGGGATTACGGTGGACGATGGGTTGTTGTGTGATGGAGCGGCGTGTCCTGCTGGTCCTCCTGCATGCAAGGGCAATGATTGCCGTCGTCGCCGTCGCAGGGCCGGGCTCAGGTTGTACTTGACTTTGGCCTGTACCAACAGTTCCTTGAATACCTTGCTCACGTTGATGTTCTCTTTGGCAGAAGCCTCGACGAATCCGTTTTCCCAATCCACGGTTACAACAGATTCCGTTGTGGCCGTATCCACCTGCAATACATTCATCGTCATTATTTTTTTAGCTTTCGGTCGGAAAAGAAACATTCGTTTTGAAAAATGAAATAATCTGAATAGGTGGGCTGTATGGAAACTATGTGTGGAAATAGAAAAAGTTCATCTTGTAGCTGAATTTATAATTGTTTACTCAAGAACGTCGCAATGTAACCCCTGTAAATACTGCAGCACCGTTTTCCGTTCAACGTTTTTTCTCTGCGTTTTCAATTCAAATGATGTCTCTTTCAAATAGAAAATGCAGGAAACTTGAATTGGGTATTTTCCACGGTGGAACTCGAACATTGCATAATTTAGCTGCACTTCATAAATACGTTCGTATTTACATTATTGTTCTATTCCATTTACTGCCAGATCGATTTTTATATTGAAGAATTGTAATTTCAATTTAGATATGTATGTTATGAAATACATAATTAATAGTTTAATATAATAGTAATGCATGAATGATATTGTATCATCTATTAATTAATTATGTAGTATGTTTGACGCAATTATCTGTATTTCCATTAATTCATATAATATTAAATGAAAAATAATTAGTTATCTAAACTTTTTACTAATAGCAATAATTATTAATATATTGGGTTAATGTATAATTAGTAGGCATTTATGTAGGTGGATTTTTTTAATAATATAAATTGCTGATTTGTTATTTTTTTTATCGACCTTCTTCCAAGCAAATGTGAAGCAGTTATTGAAGTAGATTGTGACTACGCTGCGGAATAATCATTTAAAAATCTTATTGTAGAAGTTGTATGTTTCTTTTCTCATAATAAATAGTGTTTAAAAACGCCTGATATTGGGTAAAGTAAAAAGTTTTGAGCGTTTTTCGTTAGATGGCTTTAGTGAGCTATATCTCACTTAAAGGCGACTTAACGCCTTGAAAAAGTTCTTTGACAGTTTTGTGTTTAGTAAATCCAGTTGTGTGTTAGAGGTCCAAAATAGAGGTAAAAAAAGAAAAAAATCGATACATTCTTCAGTACCACTACGACCAAGAGAAAAAGCAGAGCAGACGGTCAAACAAAATGTGTTGTTTATGGACTCAATACAGTATCGAATGAAATAGCAAAGCGTTGGTTCCAACGTTCTGGTAATATGGAAGATAAGGCACGCTCTGGTAGGCCAATCGTCGAAAATGTTGATAAAATTATGGAAATCGACGAGTCGGACCGGCATGCGAGTACTTACTCCATTGCCCACGAACTGAAGATTAGCCAGAAAACCGTTTGAACCATTTGCATAAGGCTGGTCTCAAGAAGAAGCTCGAGGTATGGGACAAAACGCTCAGAACTTTTTACTTCACCCAGTAATTATGCACCGATCCAATAAAATATAAACATAATTTATTGCATATATCCATTGTTATTGGAGTTGTTGGATATAGACACACTCATTTCCTGGATTTTGAAATAATATGCAAGATTTAACATATTGTCTATAATTCGGCTATCCCATATAATTATTTATGTCATATGTGTGTCGCACGTCGTACTTTCTCGGACAAGTTGTCTTTTTTCATAATCCCTGGAACATTAAGAAGGATGTTGATCTTTCTTTTTCTTTCCAAGAACTATATTCCACTAATTCAATTTAATTCAAGCGATATTAAAACCGATTAGGAAAGCACCTCAATACAATAGCTATGAATTTATTAGACAATAGTGAAACTAATAGACTAAAAATTTTCCTTTAGTACAAATATGGTTATCAAACCAATCAGTAAATTAAATTGATTTTTTTTTAAATGGACATCGAAACTTCGTTATCAGAAGTAACATTAAAAGAGGTTTGACTGTAATAATTTAATAACTTTGTGATTAATTAAAAAAATATTTTAATTATTTCAACTCATTCTAAATATATTCGTAATATTTTATTAATAATGATTATGCGAGGCATTATTGTGTTTTTTATGTACATTGAACGAGTTTGGTAGTATATTTATTTATTTGAATTATTATTTTTAGTTAGGACGGAATGACTGTTGTCAATATAGGAGTAAAAAATTTAATCGAAAATTTAATTAAAACGCAGTATTTTCATATTTATATTAATATTTGGTCAGAGGTTTTTAAATTATAATTTATTAAATTTGTAGTCAGAACTTTCAGTTATAAATATAATTATTATAGAACAGAAAGACTATGTTTATAATTATATATAATAAAATTAAAAAATTGCTAAGCTATATTTATTTATTACTAGTACATGTATGTGTTTAAAAAGCATACAATATTAATGTCACGTCTATGAAGTGCTTGATTGGAAAATGTCATTATACTAATATGCATACGCTAGGAACTGCACTTAAACTAAGTGAATAATTATATTTCAATGAGTATACAGATGCTGTTTATTGGTTTCCCTCAACGCTACATTACAACAAGAGTAAGTTAATTAGATTGATTATACATGCATATCAACATAGAAAACGTTTATGTGGAGAGAAAATTCGGAGGTTTAAAAGTGAATTCATTTATATTCAATTTATTGTGTTGTGTAATAAGTTCACGCGTTTTATTTATTTATTTTTTTCTTGAAAATTTGTCTTTTGCTAGGTAAAGTATATATATATATGCATTTGCAAGTATTTTTCTTGCTCTACAGACCTATATGCTTCAATTTTTCGAAATAATTAATTTTAATCAATTTTCAGTTATTTTAATCATTTTTCAGTCTTTATCGTTTGATTCGGCATGGAATGGAAAAGGTGATAATCCGTTGGTGTAAGGTCCGTAGAGTATGGAGAATGCGGTAGAACACCCATTCGAGTTGATTCAGAGCGTCCTTGATGATGTGTGTGGTTTTTGGGCGCGTATTTTTATGAAGAAAGATGACTTGACCACGATCGGCCCTTTTCTGCAGAATTGCTTCGTTTCGTGATGAAGTCGGATGAGATAGCATTCCTTGTCGACAGTCCTGTTCTTCTCCAGTAATTCTCAGAAGATTACACCTTTACAGTCTCACCAGTAGCAAATAATTGTGCAAATAATTCAGCGGTTCTCTAAGCCAGTGGTCCTCAACCCCCGGTCCACGGACCGGTACCGTTACGACCGTTGCTCTAAGCCAGAGGTTCCCAAACTGTTTTGTGTCGTAGACCCCTTGCCCATGTTTTTCGGTTATGGGTAGACCCCCTACTTACCTGATATTGATTTTTTGTAAATTTATTATTTATATTGGGTTATTTTTATAATTATTAAGATCTTTGCTCTGAGATTGCGCGTATGCTTGTAACAAGATGATACTGGTATATCATTATGTGCAGGTTTTTACAAGTTCAAAATGTATTGCGACCACAAAGTGAATTCCTACATCCTACAACTTACACAATTTTATAAACATATATAATATTTTTTTTACTTCATAGGTACTTTTATAAATAAAGTATATAAGATTTATATTATAAGATAGTATATGTTGAGTATCAGTGTATGATAGTATCAGTGTATGTTGAGTTCCACTATCGTAGACCCCCATTTTCATTTCATGGACCCCCATTTTTTTTTCACTGACGTAGACCCCTTGCAGGTTGTCATAGACCCCTGGGGTTCGATATAGACCACTTTGGGAATCGCTGCTCTAAGCTATAGCATCTACTCAATAATGTCACAAATGTCGCGAATTGCTTACGTAGCTTTTTGACCACGACGATAGGAGAAATACATCAATGCCGAAAATGATTTTTTTTTGCCTCCTGCAGCTTCCATTTCAAAAGTGTGAAAGTTGATTAAAATTAATAAATTCAAAAAATTGAAGCAGACAGGTCTGTAGAGCAAGAAAAATACTTGCAAATGAATATACTATACTTAATAAAAGATAAATTTGCAGAAAAAAAAATAAATTAGAAAAACGGGAACTTATTACACAACCCAATATAAAGATTATTGTAATTGTAATTATATTATTACCTGTAATCGTAAGTGTAAGTCACATAACTTCGTTACAAATATTATATTTATATATTACCAATATCCACGTAAATCATCAATTATTCAAAAATAATAAAACTTGCTACTTGTACTTGAACCCATCAATCATCGCAATTTAATAAAAATGTAATCAATAATTCTGGACTTCAATCATCACTTTTACTTTAATAAGTATAATTAGCTGTAACATATTTATGCAATGAAAATTAATTAAATCATAATTATAGAATATTTGTTTTTTTATCTGTCATCAAAGTATATTGAAAAATGATATTATTTAATTAGTTTATAGATATAAAATTAAAATATTATTGGAACTTGAATCATCACATTCATTAATGCGGCCCCAGGCGAATCATTCTAGGGAGCGTCAAAGGCGCAAATAATAGTTTTCTGAAAAAAATGAGCCGCAAATGATATATTTGGCCACAGGCGTAAGATTTTCTTACTGCAGCTCTGCTCGGATGTACCTGTAGATTTACTTCTTTGTAAGTTTTAGCTTCCGCATATAATATTTTTATGCATTTGGCCTTCATTGATATTAGCATCAAGTTTTCAGTGAGGGTGCAACGATTTATATATCCGTTTCTTCCGCCCTATTTAGTCCTAACAAAACAATATCTACCTTCATCTCAGTAAGCACTATTTAAGAGTTAAGCTTAGTTAAAAGAAATTCCCAATATTTTATTTTTATGACTATTTTCTGACATTATTATATTTAACAATATATAAATACATTTGAAATACACATTTTGGTTGTTGTTTTATAAATAATGTAAATGATTATCTAAACACGTATGGGTGATTACACACCAATAACACAAAATCTTCTACTTTCTGTTGGGCGTGAGTTCCCTGACGTGGAAAGTTTCTGGGCGCAATGTCCTTTTGATGAGAGGAACAACTTCTATTCTTTCTACTGTCCTCAGAGAACATATCCTAGCGGAAGAAAATTCGGTCAATAGTATTTTTACGTATCTATACAATCAATTTTTTTTACTATTAAACATTCTCATAAGTTCATTCAAATTTATGCATTAATGTGATAAATATAGAAATAATATTTAGATTGATTTACTTATGTAAAGTAATATCATTTTTCCAAGGAAATTTTCGAATTATAACTAATTAATATTTTCCGCTTAAAATCAATAATTAACTTTTACAATATTGTTGTAAAAGTGTATAAAATAACTTGATAATTTGTTTCTTCATAAAATCATTGAGAATCTCTTTTAAATATTTATTATTCACTTCGTTAATATTTGATCTAATTCACCGGATTTACGACAATCCAATTTGAAAATTTCTGTAAACCTAATTATAAATGCACTGACCGAGGTTCTTCCATTAAATGTGAACAAACATATAAAGCGAAAACACAGACCACTCACGATCAACATCATTATTGATACATAAAAGGAAGAAGACAGCAATTCAGAGAATAGAGAACGACTTGAGCTAACGACTTAAAAATTTCATATACATTATGGAGACATTTTTTGGTTACAGACTACACCTACATATGAAAGATCTTTCCGTTGTGAAAAATACTATAGTTGTCAATACACAAACGCATTCCAATATACAACAGGATTGCCGAAAGGAGCATAAACAGGAAGAATTGTATAAAATATATATTATGTACTACAATGTAAATATTTTTATATAAATAAATAATAAAAAAAAAACTATAATTTTGAAGCAATAATAATTGATATTAATATAATCAAATGATTAAAATAATTTCGTTGTTTAAATTAGTATGTTCGCAATTATAAAACTCATTATTAAAACATAATATACATATTTATAACTGCATTGTATTCAAAGATGTATTTTACTATACTAAGATAACTTCTAATAATAAATTGGAAATGCTTAAACGAAAGCTCTTGTTAGCAGTTTCCCGTTTAATACAGAAAATCTGTGGAGTAAAGAGAACTTTGTTGCATTTCAAACGGAGATAATCCCAGGCGTAAAAGTCCTTATAGTTTGACAAGGGTGCGGGAGTAAAAAAAAAGTTTCAGAATTCCTTATCTAAACCCCGCGCACGAGACACAAAATGAAAGCAATAAATTCGAGGCAGAAAGTTTTCATCTTCCACCCAACCCGGTCATTTTTCTCTTCTTTTTTCGTATTGTTGTTTTAGTTTCAATCTTCCTGCTCTTTCCCTTTGTTTCAATCGATTCCTTTAGCAAGGAAGAAGAAACAAAAAAAGAAACGTCTATTTGTATCTAGTTCTAAGTAAGCAGCATTGTCTGGCCGATAAAATCCGGGCGGATGGCATAACGTAATTATTAGTTGCCTACATGCTCAATGCTACAACAGCTTTCACATTGTCAAGACCATTTGCGCGAATGTTAACCAAACGTGCTTTGACGAAGTTGCTTAACAATAAGCTTCAATTCCGGCAAGGAAAAACAGATACCAAAACTTTGCATGTGCATCTCAAAATAGTTTTCAATTGAATTTGGGGCACGCCTGATGCAAGTAACTGAATTTCCAGCGCTAATTAGATTTCAACAGCAAGCTTTAAGAACTGAGATTCAACAGGATGAGAAAAAAAAAAGATATGTAATTATAAAATTAAATTAATTTGAACGTCGGTTGGAAACTGTTTTCCAGCTGACGAAACTTAACTCACTCGCTGCATGTTGCAAAATATTATGTTACATCAACAAAATGAGTGTGATATGAATCATACATGTGCATATAATGATGTAAATATACATGGATGTACTAGGATTTATAAAAAAAAATCCCGTAACTCTTAGCTGTATCTATTAACCACTCATTAAAGCAGTTAAGTGGTCGATAGAAAAAAAAACATATTTTACTTCTACTTAGCGGACTTATTTTCAAAATTTAATGACGTACAGACTCCTTAAATATATAACAATGGAATGATTCTTTAGTTTGGGATCCCATGTAAGTAAATACATACAAATTTTTATTGACCACAGTCTTTACGCCTTACATTTTTTCTAAATCAAAAAGGCATAACGACTAAAGTATGTAACTTTTAAGGAAGAACGAAATAATATTATTAAATAAACAACAAGAGATTCTTTTTTATATTTTTTTTTTGTCATTATAATATACTCTGTTTACTTCATATTTTCTTTATTATTATTAAAGCAAAAATAATTACTAACTATAATTAACTATTTTTAATTAATATTAATAATCTTCATTGACTGACATGCATACATTTATTAGCAAAACACATATAGATCGTGGTCTTTTGTTCCACTTTTTAATTACTGAAATCTAATATCTGATCTACTTGAAAATTCAATATAGACCCAGGCTGCTTTAATATAAAGAAGATAATATGATTCTGTTAAACGTATTAATGCTATAGAGATTAACAAAAGATTTACCATTAAGCAAAAGTCTTACTCCTTCAATAAGTTTTCTACTGTTTTTTTTTTTTCATGATCTCGTACACGTTTGTACTCCCTTAATATCTCGAAAGTATTATTACTTAATAAATCGTTGGAACTTATACTATATTTTGTTCACATCCCAGTACTGATGATTGATTCGTATCTATCAGTGGCGGTCCGTCCATGGATGAGGCGCATCTCTAAAATTTTAATATGTCAAGAGCATTTTTATATCGTATCATATTAGAATTTCGCTTACTTTTCTTTTTTTTTGTTAAGTAATTATCTCATATATAAAAGAAAGTTGTTGGAAGTATTCTATTCAATGGTCGATTGTCGAGGATTTGCCCACTGTTTATGTACATATGCCATGTATTAAGATTCGGGATATGCATACTTCGTGGTATTCTAGGTTACGTGCTCAAGTTGACAACTGCTTCACTACTGCAATTACAACTAGTAGATGCGGTCCCTGACTTAGCTTCCGTAGACTAGAACGCAGTGTTTATTGATAGCAAGTTCTTTTCTTTATACGAAGATAATCATTTTCGTGGTAATTTTTTATTATTTTTAGTATACTGTTTCACCACATACGTGTTAAAATTATCATTTATTATGGCCCTTAATATGGGAAACTAAAGAAAGGATGAATGAAGGTAGACTGATTGCTAAGGCTAATTGGAATTGTTTAATTGAAGATATGCTTAAATGAAGATTTTCTTCTCTCCCGTTTAACGAAAAAGACATTATTGTCAAGAGCCCGAAGCTCGTACCAACATTAAGTATTCGGTCTCAAACAAAAAGATTTAAAAGACATTTTAATGGATGAATAGATGTGTGGATGTTCTCATTTATCAAAATTATTCTATTGGCTATGCATTTTGTTTTCTCTAGAACAAAATGTCTGGAATAAATTTGGATAGTCTGATCAAAACAATATCAGCAAAGCATGCAAGAGACACGATTGCTCTCAATCATACATATGTTTTAATGTATAATTCAAAAAAAATTGCAATGCACAGTAAGGAAATTACAGCAAATCGATACATTTGATCAAAATGTTCATCACGAATTAGATAAAAGGGAAATTATATTGAATTCCTATCTATCAGTGATAAATAAAAGATTTCTAAAACAAGTTAGACATTTTTATAAAATTTGCTATCAATATAGTTGGGAATGGACAGTAAATTTTGCTTAATAAATTCAAGTGGATTTTGTTTAAAGTGCAAAAGAATGGGAATATATTTTTTTACAGTTATATTGCAATGAAACAATTAGTAAATTTTGTCATTGATGAAAATGTTTTGATCATAGAACTATAAATGGGTAGATAAAAAAGGAATTATATACTCCTTTTGGCATGCCACCTTAATATTAATGAAGTATTTATTTTTTCAGATAATCGACTGGTGTATTTTGTAATTATAAATATGTTATTAATAATGTAAAGTAGAAATCTTACCTCGCGATTTCCGACCAAGTCGACTTTGTTGCCAACTATGACGATTGGTATATCCGTTCCGCCTTTGGTCTCGTGGATTTGGTCTCGCAGAGCTCTAGCCTCCTCGAAAGTATTAGCATCCGTAACGTCGTAGACAAGGATGAAGGCGTCAGCGGAGGATATGGATAGCGCCCTCATCGCGGGGAATTCGTACGCCCCTGAGGTGTCAAGGATGTCAAGCATCAGATGGACGCCAGCTACATTGAAGTCGCTATGATGCATCTCCTCCACGGTCCTCTTATATTTTGGCGAGAAAGTGCCATAAAGAAACTGGGAAATCAAGGACGATTTTCCGACCTTTGCGGCTCCCATCACCACGATCTTGTGTCTGACGTTGGCAGTTGCAACACCCTTCTCCAAAGACTCAGCATCCTCGCTCCTCTGGGACCTAAATTCATTAAAATAAGAAACCAAACAGACAAATTTCACATTTTGATATAACACAAATTCACATTTCGTCGTATCAGATGCGCAAATGCTGTAAGGTATTAGTTTTTTGCAGCAGCAAGTAAACACCGCTAATTGGAAAATATTTTTGTTAATCTAGAAGATTATTATTTCTCATTAAAAAGTTATTACGGCCACGGAGTAAATCCAATTTGCGACCGCGCTATTCCAACCTTAATTACTCATAAAAACTGATTCAATATAATTAAAACGGATTATCAAAGGAATGCAAATTAATATCGTCTATTAACGTTTCCTATTTAAATACATTAAAGTTTATTTGTTTGTTTTTCATTCAGTTGTAACAAATGTATGCTACTTACTTTAAAAATCGTTATAGGAATTATTTTCAACCGAAATTGATTTTCCATTTCTTCTTGTCTCACGTGCTTTGAATACGATATGCGCTCACACATTTTGGGGTGATTTTGCCTCGCTGTGCTATTAAATTCCGTATTGTAATCGGCCACCATTCTGTTGCAAATGGTATCCAGAGGGTGCGTGCCATAACGACGAAATGTCTTGGGTGCGTAAATTTATGGTAAGTTATATTAAACTATTGTTATATCCAACTCTTTTTACGAGATTATATAGATTTTGTTATGAATTCAATATTTTTGTTTTAAATACGAGTAATTTCTAAGACAGATTCATTATACAAGATACTTTGTTAATTAAGGTAAATATATTAATTGATAGATATTTGTCAAAAAATCTCCTATGAAATAAAAGTTTTAGCGAGACAAATGTTATTTGTAATTTTTCATTAAAACTAAAAAGCGTTATAACGTATTTACTAAGAAAGTATATCTTGCAGTGTATGTATAACATATACGAAATTAATATTAATTATTAGGTTATCTATTTTAAAGAAAATATAAATATACCAAAAGTGTCTTATATTTTATAATTGCAAATACGAAGTTATTGTATTTAACACTTATAAATTTTTCCTAAATTAAATGTTTGACCTCATTGATTTGTTGAGAAGAGGATATTTGGCATTAGGCGATATGTTTCGTTGCTGCGGTACTTCTATTTTTTTCTTCAGGTAAAACTTCTGGCCATATTTTATCTAACTAAATTTCAGATTTCTTAAACTTTCCATATGTTTTCCATTGCGTTTAATGATGTAGCTTTTCAACAAAAAAACACTGTCATTTTCTCTTCATACTATATAAGATAGAGGATAATAAGCTTTAAATTATGATATATCCTCTTTTTTAATTTTATGTTATAATAAGCAATATAGGCGGAAATACCTCAGTTCATAGCCGTTTGGTCATAAGTGTAGCTAAGAAATATTTTAAATGTTATTTATATATTGAATTCACGAGATGTCATAAGATGTAATAAATAAATTTCTCTTTTCTATAGATGCAAAAACTCAAAAAAATAATTATTGATTACCAATAAATTTTCGATTAATAGTTTCGTGGCATTAGGAATTACAATTATATTGTACACTAAAATCGACAATTAAATGTAAAGCGATGCTGCAATTAATGATTTATAGTCCATTAATTGATTATGTCGAATAGTAGCGATTATCAGGTTCAGAAACTCTAACAATCCCCTACACAATCTGCCTAATAAGCTGCTACAAATCCAAACCAATTTGATGTCTATAGTCGAATGGTTTTATTCTTTGGTTTTGAAATTTATTCAAAATAATTCAACCTTTAATTATGTTGAGCTTACAAAAATCAAAGAATCTAGAATCTTTTGAGATATCCATCTTTATTTATCTTTATCTTTTATCTTTATCTTTTTTAGATATTTATCTTTATTAATGCTTTCAATTCTGGTTTTTTGTATATAAATACTATTTTCTATTTATTTTAATACTTTAACATCTAACCATTTATGAAATGTATATCAAAAATATGAAATATGTAAAATTAAGACTTTTAAAAAAAAATCCAATAGGACAAATTTGTGAAGTTTATGAACGTAAATTTTAAAGTTTCTTTGTAAAATCATTGAAAATAAAAAAAAAATATATTCTGTCTTTCTTTCAATACAATCTTTCAACTACAGTAATACCTAATATAGTCCGGTTTCGAACAGATTCAGTTTAAAAATTTTAAAACAAATTCAATTTTAATGTAGCAAAATAAAAATAAATTCAGGTTATTTGTTTGAATTTATTTACATGTTTCCATTTTATGCTTTTTTTACATTCTGGTCAATAAATTATGATTATTATTACTGCACATTTTTTTTATGGTCGTTTTTCCTCATTATATTTTTTTTATGTTGTGTAATTTTATTTACAATCTGTTTATCAATGTGCACATTGAGTAAATCGCAGTTGACATTAGGTAGGTAATCTTTCCCGGTGGATAGTAACCATTATGATGATTTGATTGCTGCAAGCACCGAGAGTGCTCACAAAGGGCCTGGATTGACCAGGATTTGAACCTGTGACCACTGGCACGTGGGTGGGGCAACTTAACTTAACTTAATATTGTTATATTTAAATATAGATAAGATACTTACAATACATAAATATTGTGTTATTGCAGTAATATTCTTAAGGTTAATAGTTATAAAAAAAAGTTTAGTCTTTAAACTAATAATATATTTGTAATGGTAAGCAGGTGGTTATGGTGTCGTAACTACGAAATACAAGAAGCTTGAAATGACTTTTACTTAAACATTACGCTCGACCGGACGAAGAAAGTCCTGACAGTTGATTATGGTCGGGACTTTGGACGGACTTTGTTTCTGTAATTATGTGGACCGTCTGTGTGCGTTTCCAGTATGTGAATGAACTTCCGTCCAATTATTCCCCAGTGCCGACGGCGGAAACGTTAATCCGTTTAGTCGTTGGCTTTAGGGATGGTAGCACCGTTTGTGGTCGTTGTAATGCAAACACTCTGTATTTACAATGAATAAAACACCCTTCCTTCTCCACTTAAACCCTCAAAAGTCTTACGTTTAATTTAACCTAATTAAAATAATATACCCATCCTCATTGATATTATTCTAAAATTAATGAAATATTCAACAGTCACATAGTATATAATTTTAATAAAATAAAGAATTAATGTGACGAAATTGAAATTGAAATAATCAAACAATTCAAGAGTTAAACCATTGACCTTACGCAATCATCCTCCCACCAAATCAATTATTTCAATTTTAATATTAGAATTTGATCATTGGACACTTAAAGTATAAAAATTATATAAATTGTGTAATTAAAAAAAATGATAGAAGTTTTTCCGGCGCAATGACTAAATCTAATATACGCTTAGACTAATTGCACTAAAATCAAGACCAGCGGGCATTGAGTAATCTGGATGTCGTGTAATTTCCCAATAGGCCTGCGGCTGCACATGACTAATGGGACAAAGTGATGTATTGATATATAAATCACACTTTTTTTTTAGCAGATAAACAATAAAAAATGAAAATAATGACTTTATATAATAAATATATTGTTATAGTAATAATCAAACCATAAATATGTCCCATGAAAACCCGTCACCTCCACGTAATTAATGAAGAATGGTAAGGAGGGTAAGGTTACTGTTTTTGCTCGTCTTGCAAAACATTTGCAGACGTAATTACTCGCAATCTTATATTGTACTTACGTACAAAGTAAAATCATGTTTTAAAATATTTTAGACGCAAGTTATGCTTGTAATATAGTAGAAACAGTGAGGAAGACAATCAAATGGTACAAGAAGATATTTATTTGAATTACGAGTTTTGAAAGCTTCTATACTGCATAATCACCTGACCCAAAAATATACTCCAATATCAAACTTTCAACAAAATTTGGAAAAACAATTACTTCATAAATATCATATATATCATTCATAAATATCATTGTGATCCAAGAATACCAAAGATCGAGTGTTCAGAAGCTGCCAACTCGCAATATTTTACAACATTTCTTCCCAAAATTAAAACCCAATCCAACAAAACGCTACTTTGAGTGCTTAACAAAAAATAAAAGCAGATTTTTCAAACAAAAAACATTACTAAATCTTTGTAAGTTTCATTTAATTGCTCTATTCGAACAAACTCACAGTTACCGAAATATGTGTGCACAGCGAGTACGAAATGCGCAATAAGCTTCGATATTGTGCATTTTCAACATGAACTTCTTTAAATTCGCCTTCATTTTCTCTGTCTGTATTGTTAACAAGATATTCTAAATCTTTCACTGAAAAACCATCTGCATTCAATAAATTTCTAACATCATCTTTATCGAAATATTCAAAATCTATTGAATCAGACATAACTTATCTATTTTTATATAGGCATATTAGAGTAAAAATAAAATAAAAGTGTAAATAAAAATCGTATTTTCCAAATGTATGCAGTGGCACAAGCTAAATTAAAGTAGGACAAGAGGTAATAAAATTGTATATGAAAGTTACCATTATTTTTCTATATAACAAATATTTACCAGAAAATTAGTCGCTTACTGTTGTACTACTCAAGAACACAAGTTCAAAGATTTAAAAGATGACCTTGAGATAATTAAAAAAAAATGTAGGTGCAGAAAAGAAAAATGTGCAAAAAATAAAACCGGAAAACATATAGAACTTCAATATATTCTTAAGAATCTCTATAAAAGTTTGCACATAAAACTTTCTTATTGGATAAGTAGATTTGTTCCGAGAGCAGCACATATTTCGTACGATCTATAGATTCCCTGGTCGCTTAAAAATACATGGATATTCTGATCCAAGGACCTCGTCAATTCTAACGTAAAATAAGGATTTTTTTAAAGATTCTTCAATAACTATGTTACTCGTTTTCGATATGTTGATATCGGATTTATTATAGTCCGATTTGAAAGTTTCTCTGTTAGTTCATTTTCTATGATCTTTGCAAAATAGTCTTATCAAAGCAATTTTATTATGACTATGTCAAATCGATTCGATATTAACACTTTACCTCAACATATTGTTGACCAGCACAACTCGACAAAGAGACAATTTAGGTCGTTTCAATAGAAACTTGGATCTAAATTTATAGCAGGTAGCGAGTATAATAGAAAGCGTCAACAATGCAGTTGTGTACTAAGTATTACCCGAGGGAATTATTCAATAAAACAATGATCAACAACAATAACCTTAACAAACTACTTGTCAACTTGTCTAAAGCTTGGATTAAAGCGAATGTCTCCTAGTTATTAACTATTGTACAGTTAATGGTATTAATTAAATTGTAGAGAAAATTACGATTGAAAGTTTACTTAGAAAACATTAAAAAAATAATATAATTTAAAATGTTATTATTATTTAATTGAAGCAGATGACAATATTAGTCAGTAAATAGAAAATAATGTATTGCTAGTCTGTAATTCTTTCTGGATGTCTACTTTATTATGCAATAGAATATTAATAAGGGTTTTCCCAAACGCACTGAACACTGCTATAAATCAGTGTTCCCTAGTAGATTATTAATAATTCATGAACGCTACAGATGATACAATCAATTTAATATATCATAGACACTCTAAATATATTACGTATGATCTACTGTAAATGAAAGAATTTGAGTTAAATCCAAATAAAGGTCTTCTATTAATCGAATAATACTTTTATATTCTGTATATCTATGAAAATAAATTATTATTATTATTATTATTACAATTAATGATTTTATTAATTAAATTATATTGTAAAGTATTTTTTTTAATAATTGTTATTATTCTGTTTATATATACATTCTTATTGGCACTAATTTGACCAATAAAATAAAATAATAAATAACCTTGCTTTGGCCGTAAAGATACGTTCCCGAAAAGTTTCCTATAGAAATGTACAGAGTACAGCATTTTTTGGTCGTATAACAAAACATTGTGAGCCGTAAATCGAAAAAATGTCGTAATTAAAAAGGCCGTTTTAGATAAATGCCGTACAAAATGCGGCCGTATAGGTGTATAGTATATTATATTTTTTTCTATCTTGAGGTTATTATAAACGTTCAATCTTATAAAATGTATGTCTGGGTTATGACATATTGCAAATATCTATGTCTATAAAAAATCAATATCCGTGAGGACTTCTTGAGCCCAATGGAATTGAAAAAGTGTCGCTCCGCTAAATATGTTTCGCTCAAAAGATGAAATACGGTTTTTAAGTGATTTTCTTATGAAAACTTTTAAAATATATATATGAAATTCAGTTTTATTATCTTTCTATTAATATAGAAAGTTGGTATGTTCATTGATTACAAGAATTGTTCGTTTATTTATATAATTAAATAAAATCGGGCTAAATATTCTGAATGGATTATATATAGCAGAAGTCTTATAGTTGTCAGGTACCCACAAAGCTTTAAAATAGTCTAATTTTTTTAGATTTGAAGAACAAATACTCGTACATTTTTTTTCAATTAAAATGTGAATTGTGAAAGGAAGTCAAAAAGTAGAAAATTTTGGAAAGGTTAAATGTAGAAGTTCTAATATAAAATAATATTAATACATAGAAAAAAATACTTAGATTAACATCCTTTTAGAACAAATTTATATATATAAATATAAAATAAACACAGAAAATAAAACAGCTCAATATATAAAAAAAACTTTGTTATAATTATATAAAAAAATAAATTAAATGACCTCAATCATTGTTTTCAACATTTTCGTATAATTTTGTATTTATTACTGTTCCACTAAACAATATTATTATTATTGAACTATTTAATTTAATAATATTTTCAAATTGTTTTAGATTTGACTTGAATTGTTTTATATTTATATATAATTATTTTATAAATCAATGTTTTTGTGAAAGCTTATTTTAAGCTTATATTTCTAGTTATTAGCAGATCTAAATAAAATAATATTAACTTACAATAAATTTAATATTGTAGATAATACTGATTATATAATTTATAACTTATTTATGAAAAAAATATTGATTGAGTTTTGAGGATTGATATGGTTATAGATGAATTAAGTGCATTGAATACAAGTACTAAAGATGAAGATACATATCATAATTAACTAAAATTATAAATACTTGAGTTTTTAATGGATTTAGACTTAGATAATGCTTAGATAGTGCCATGAATTCAGGTAATAAAATTAATTAAAGGAATATGCTAATAAAGAATTTCGTAAATACAAGTGCATTCAATCGCAGCTACTACATATTAATTTATTTTATAAGTCTGTATAAAAGTATAATTATTTAAGTTGTTGATAGGAATATGATTATTATGAATTTCAAAAATATAAGTGCATTGAGCACAGGAACTAAAGGTTAATCGAATTTACATGACGTCATTTTCTTCTACAAGTATAATTACTTGGGTTTTCAATTTTGAGAATACATGTACATTGAATGCAGGTACTAAAGGTTTATTTGATTCAACATGTCATTATGGCTTTGTGACAGATGGGGCCCAAATACTTACACGATTCGTTTGGGCGAGTTTCTAGGGCTTTTCTGTGGTGCGGTTTGCGCGGCGGAGGGCACCGACTCCGTTTCCGGTATACTCTGACATCTGAGATTCTCATTCAGGCTATGAACAATAACTGGTTTAGCACACGGAGATTCGAAGACCGCGACGCGCGAGTAACGTAGATGTACCTTAAGACGGAAACAAAGAGGGTTGGTTATTACCTGGGCGGATGCGAATTCCTCTCGTCTTCCTGCTCCTCCTTCAAGAAGGACGGCTGCAAGCTGAAGCGTCGACGAAACTGGTGTCGACCCTTCATCGGTCTTCAAAGCCTGCAATAAACATAGATATGAATACACAGGCTCAAAGCGTAATTCTGTTGATTTCATGTTTGCGTTTACGTAAATTTCATTTTATGTACATGTGGCGGAAACCTTTTGAGAACGCGCGGAGCGGAATAAAAGCATGAGATGGAAAAAAAAAATTTGTATATATATACATAGACTGTAATCAGATTCAGTTCATTGATATGGAGTTGGTGGGATGTACGGAAGGGAACAAACAGTGGAAACATCCGTTTCAACGATACACAGCGGAATCAACAAATTCGGGGCAAACATTGAATACCCAAAAATAAAAGCGGTGACTGCGCTGTGTTCGTTAACTCAATTTAATCTTTTCACAAAAAAAAACATCAGAATTAAATCACTTAATCATTACAAAATAAGACCTCATTCTACAAAATCAATAAAATTAGAAATAAAGTCGATTAAATAAAATTAATTAAAAATTATATAAATCGGTAAATGTACATTTGACAGATTAGTTGGTAAATGTAAGTATAAATCTGAGATAACCTTCATATATCTACTATTACCTGTAAATGTATATATTTTTCAACGTATATAGGTAAAAGTTGAATAATAAAATAATAAATTTGATACACAGGTTATAATGTGATTAAAATAATTTATACTATTATTTTTTATTTCAATAATATTTTTTTATATTAAAAGATTTTATGAGCCGTTATTTTTGAAAGTCGTGTAAGTCCTTCTTTTTATATATCGAGATATTTAAAGGTTTGCATTTGAATCAATTTAAAAATATTGGCAAACGTTAATCAATTCGGGTTATGTTTTTAACACTGTAAATTTGTTAAACTTTATTATGCAATATAGTTAATAAAATTTGCTAATGAAAATAAACGATTTTTTAGATCGAAATAGACTTACATCACTTTCAATAATAACATATGACATATAACATATACAACCAAGCCGGTAAATGAATATAATATTTGTTTTCTTAACTAGCAGTTGGTAAAAATATCTCAATTCAATATTTTAGTGGTAGAAAAATTAGGACATTATTTATGTATTTATTCATTCTTGTAAAATCATTCTTCCAAACTAACATTGCAGTAATTATGAAGGATGAAAATATATCAATTATTTATTCAAATATTATTATTACCTAACACTTTGTGGGGCCAGAAATTTCTAACTTTCCAGACCACAACAATTTTTTAAATATGATATACAAAGACGTCTATGACATGTCTTATGTTTCCAACGTCAAAATTGATTTTGACTCGTCACAAATGTAGCGGAAAATATATCTAATCTTTACCTGATTACACAAATCGTGGACATCCGTAAAAAAATTACAGCCCAACTCGACTATAGACAAAAACCTGGAAACATTTTCATGAATACTGATACAAAAGCAACATTAAGCAAAGAGATATAATGAATATACCAAGCATTATTTAATTGAGATTTTTTATTGATTCTTGAAGTAAACGCGTTGGATATCTGTTATCAGTTCAGAAATTTGTGTTTTCTTAGCATAGACCTTGGACTTTACAAAACCCAAAGGAAAAAAATGGATGGCGTCAAGTCGCAAGATCTGGTCAGCATTTCTGGAAATCACACGACCAGGAAAATATTATCTTAACAAATTTATGATTTCTCTTGCTGTATGGCATGTGGTACCAACCTATGTCATCCAATTGATCCCATAAAAAGTTAGATAATTCTCAAAAAGGAACGGTCCAATTACACCTCCAGCCCATAATGTGCATCAAATTGATGGATGGATTGATGGACCATTCTATATAAGAAGCTAAGCCACTTGACAATGTACATAATATTTAATTGCACTACATTTATCTGAATGCTTTGATAAATATCATACTTTACAACATTATTAAATTGTTTCTTTTGTATTATGTGTTATTTTTTGTGTTATATTATGTCATTAAAAAAACAGTTTTAAGTTTAATTTAAATATATTCACCAAAATTATAATATAATTTCTTAGAAAAGAAATATTTTTGTAAATTCAGTATTTATACAAAGTAGTACTCAGAAGACAAAGATGATCTATTCTCTAAAAAAAGAAGAAATCAATTTAATAGATTAACTAAAGTGAATAGCTGGTATTAATTAAATGCGTATTACGTCATTTTTTATTTGAATTGAGTTCAACAAGTTTCAAACTTTGAAGTCGATCCATTTCATCTAAATGTTCTTCTGTTTAATTCGAATCGAATCGTGCAAATAAACGACATCCGCAAATGAATATCGGATTATCGAATTTGAGAAGTTTCGGCAATCCGTCTTCGGTGATTAAGTGAAAAAAATGCGACCTGTCTAGTTAGTTAGGGAATGAAACATGTAGACATTAACTTTTTACTGTACAAAGTTCTAAACAGGGCCAAAGGTTTTAATTGCGTTCGACCCGCAGGACATCTAAAAAAACAACAAGAACAAAAAAGCAAACACAGGAGACCGTCTGGACGACCGGCAATTATACAATACAGAAAAAAAGTTTTTGGTATGTGTGATCCAGAATTAATTGGCGCAAAACACTTCGTTAATTTTGCTCGAGAACTCAGTTTTTGCTGAAAGCTAAATGAGAGAGTGGGAGAAATAGGGACAGAAAGTGGGCTAAGGCAAAAAATAGAAACCAATTAAAGATTTGGCCCTTGTCCCTTCGGGTGACTTTAATTTGCATTCGATGGAGTGTACAACTTTAAAGTTCACTGATTACACAAAGAGGATGACGATGTCCTCCTTTTTTTCCTACACATATTTATAAATTTATTGATTGGCATTTCAACGCGAGAAGTGCTAGAAAATCCGCGCAAACGGAAGAAGAGAAAATTCCAATTACCCGGTGATTTTCATTTCTCCACCACTTTCATGATTTAATTAGAGATGGTTTGCGGATGGTTTGCGACGAAGACAAATTCGCTTAAAACAGATTGAAACTATAATTGGGAGCTAGGGTTCGTCGGATAAAAAAAAACGGGTTTACATTAATGTTTTTTATATTTATATAATAGAATTATTGTGAAGAAAATCCAAGTTCAATCAATGTGAGTGTATTTTATATTTCAGCAAATTTATAAAATATATAAATTACATGTTGATTAGCTTTTGTGAAACATTATGATACCACCCGGAGATTAAATGTGAAAGAAATAAGAAAGATTATTTGTGTGGAAAGATTCCGAGAAATAAAAATGATTGCTAGCTTCCAATTAGGAAGAGAAACCTCAAAACAAATAAACAGATCATGCACATATATATATAATTTAATTGAATCCTACGCACACCCTAGCAATAATTTCCAAGCACGGAATACGCAAATTACTCGTAATGTCTGTATGAATAATTTATAGATTTAACCATAAGCCATGTTTAAATTAATAAATTATAATGGCATCATTCATTAGTCGTTCCATTTAATGCATATTATATATGAACAAGGTTAATTTGAAATGCGTCAGTAAATAGTAAATTAATATAAGTTATATTTAATATTTGTATAACTGTATTTGTGATGTATATAATTTTCAATGTCAGTACTATTTATTGTAGTTAATCGTAAAGATTAAATACTATTAAAGTATAGGGAAAAACTAATGAAAATAGTTATTTATTATAAATAATATGTTTCTTCATTTAAATTAATTTAAAATCATTTGTATACATTTTGCAATAAATATTCTTAAATCTGTCATCTTATACTTGAAAAACATATATAACAAAGGTTATTTTTGGTATCTGCATTATCCAAATGTATTATAAACTAACTTTTGGTTTTCAAATTTCAACTTAACTCAAAAGCAACGCCTGTCAATTATGTTATTTAGCTATCAATGTAAACAATACCAATATAATGAGTATTGCCAGTTGCTTTCGAAACTCTACAAACTCTAGATAAACTAAGATTTTCTTTGAAATCTATACCATATTTTCGGACAAGGGGGAGTCTATTTACAAAACTAAAACAATGTTTCGACTTCTAACAGTTTAAAATAATTAAGTGCTGATTTCTGATCCACATCTAAAAAAATGCAAAATTGTCCACCTCAACTCATCCATATTTTATTCCAAAGGATTCTTGTGAAATGTTGAAATGTTTAAAATATGTTTTTCTCAAACTAATACAGTTTACAAACATAAAACAACTAAATCAGGATAACATTTAACAAAAATCCAGATTATATTAACTTGATTAATTATATGGGCACCTTTGAAATTATTTTTTTATCGTATTAATATAAGAAATTACATAATATTAACTGGGGTTATAAAATGTTATTACCCTTTATACCCTTTTTTATCACAGCTATTTGACCATTATACATCAATTTGTTTCATACTTTTATTTTGTTATAATTTATTGCACCCTAATAAAATATTATAAGATAAGTAATTCTTATAGAATTTTGGTAAGGGTAGTTATTATAAATATAATATTGAGCAGTGGAGCAGCATCAGTTCGTTTCGAGTTATTGATCAACACAGTGAATTCTACTATTCTTTATATTTTCGATTTTCGACTTTATTTTCATTATAAAATCATGGATACCCAGGATAATCAAGAAGATTGTTGTTGGTATTTGTGCCCACTCACCGGGGAAAGTTTCTATTTGTAGACCACAATACTCTCAAATGAAAAACAATATCTGGAGCAGAAACCAGAGATCATGACGCCTAACACCCCTAGAGGCAGGCTACCTCCTTTACCATGTTACGGAAAGAGGTGTCCACCAGCTCCAGACGCAACACCAAGACGTAAAGTTGAAAGGAGAAGAAGAGTTCTCTTTGAGGACGAGAATAGAAGCAAAATGGAAGTATCTCTTCCAATCAATAGCCAGAGAATTCCAAGACCTCGCACGCAGATCAAGAGGAAATTGTATGTGGTTTCAAATGGAGATGACCAGGATAACTATGGGCCTTTGGAATATCATATAGTAATTACTGCAGATGAGTTGAGGGACAAGGATGTCATCGTAATAGATGATGACTAAGC